CACTTGTATCAGCTCATCTGCATGAATCAATGGATTATGACCACTGAACTGTGCACAGAGCTGAATATCAGCTTCATGTATTGGAAATGACGGTGGCAACATTGGAATATTGCAAAGTTAGCACCAGATGGGTCCCACAGATGCTCACATGGGAACAGATAAAACAGCGCATGCAAGTTTGTCAGGACCTATCAAACCAATATGAGACTGAAAGTGAGTTTCCTGGATCACATCATTACCAGTGACAAGACGTGGTGTCAGAACAGCAGTCCATAGAGCACTGACATGTGAATTCCCCACTGAAGAAAAAGTTCAAGAAGCAGTCCTCAGCAGATAAAGTGATGTGCACTGTCTTTTGGGGTAGGAAATGGGTGATCCCTCTGGATTGTCTGGAACCCAGACAAACCATCAACTCTGGTCAGTCAGTGTTTCATGACACTGACTAAGCTGAAGGCTCAAACTTGCAGAGTCAGGACAGAGAAGAAGAAAACCTTTCTTTTGTGACACAGTAATGCCAGGCCGTGTAGCGACTTTGAGACCCACATATTGCCAGTCTTTGCTTGACTGATGTACCACTCCTTCTGATAGTTCAGATTTGGCTCCCTCTGACTTCAGATGAGAGAAAGATGGACTTCAGGAGCAAAGTAACAACGCTGCCCTAGCAGCTGTGAAAGAGTGGGTCACTTCTGTTGGTGCAGATTTTACAAGCGTGGCATGCAGGCTCTTGCTGGAGAAAATGCACAGCTAATGATGGTGACTGTTGAAAAATAGTGTTTTGTAGCTGAGAATTTACTCTATCAAATAGTGTTATTGTGCTCTTGTTTATCTGTTGTAGTTTCCATGGAAGTAAACAGGAAGCATTACTTTCAGAGCAAACTGCATACCACATGGCACAGTTGTTTGAATGGTTTGTAGTGGTGGAATAGCTGTATCCTTATAGGAAAGATTTGAATTACAGGCTATTATACATGATTTCCTATTACGTGAGCTCAGCTTTAAGACATAAAACTTAGAGGAATTTTTACAAAGAAAACCAAATGTGAAGGGAGGATGTTTATCTTTAAAAGGGATTATGCAACAATCCCAGGAGCCTCTTTTACTCGGGAAAATGTGGCCAGCAAGTTCTGTGTCAGACCGCAGTACATGGAACAGGGCTGCAGCTTGTACAATAGGCTTTTCTAGTTGACTCTTCACCTCAAGTCAGGGCAATGTGAAATCCTGGACACGTGGGTGACAGACTGGAGGCTTAGTTACCTGCTTCTGCATTCCTGCTGCTTCTGAGCAAGCTCCTGTTTCATCTTGCTGGGCTCCTCTGCAGCTCTGCAAATACTCCTTTTCAAAGGGAAGTGGTGTGTACCATTTCACTACAAAAAACAAGGGGATGCTGCCTGAGTAATTCCAAGCAGTCTGCAATTCTTCACGAGCATCCTGCAGACCTGTGCAGGAAATGGCCTTGGCTCAGGTGAGTTGCTCAGGCACATGCATCCTGATTCCAGTTGCCTTATGGCCCAGTGGGCTCTTTGCACCTCCACTGTCAGAGTGGCAGGCTCTGGGGAATGGACTTTGCATGCCAGCATCGAGGCTGAGCAGCTCCATTTGCACAGTATCTAATTGAGAGACAAGGGCATGCTTTCTGCAGAATACTCTCAGCAGTACTGGCATTTCCTCACCTACCTGAAAAAGTTTCATTTGGTTTCTGTCAGAAGCCCAAAATGGAAGATCAGGATCGCCAGGATACTCACTGCTTATTGCTGTTCCAGTACAAGGAGCATTGCTGTTGGTCATTTTACCCTCCATGCCACTTTGAGTTCCTTTTGGTCTCTTTAAACAGCAAAGAAAAAGACTTCAAATAATCTAGAGTCTGAATACAGTGCTAGTCAAGCATTAATCACATTTGGAATGCTTATTTTAGCTAAACTGTGGGGGAAGAGCTTTCTCTTTTAACAGACAAAAATATTTTTTGTGTCAAGGGCATTGCTAGAATGTTCATAGAATCACAGACTGGCTTGGGTTGGAAGGGACCTTAAAGCCCATCCAGTTCCAACCCCCTGCCATGGGCAGTGCCAGCCAGCAGCTCAGGCTGCCCAGGGCCCCATCCAACCTGGCCTTGAGTGCCCCCAGGGATGAGGCACCCACAAGTTTCTCTGGGCAGCTGTGCCCATTCAGTAATGAGATTCTTCCTAATATCTAACCTAATTTTCCCCTCTTTTAATTTAAAGCCATTCCCCCTTAACCTATCACTGTTAGATTATGTAAATGTCTGTCTCTTTCCTGCTTATAAGTTCCCTTCAAATACTGAAAGGAATGGTGTTGCAGTGTTCATTTTCGAAAGACAGATGTCCAGTTTGTTGATATGAATAATCAATTATTAGCAAAAAAATTAATTTGAATCTTGCTTTGATCTCCTTAAGTGAGGAGGGGAATTGTAGTCTCTTCTACCAAGTTAGAATCTTGGTTTTCCTCAGAAAAAGAAAAAAGGTACTAAAAATACTAAGTTTTCTCTTTTTTATTTTTATACTGCCCGTGCAATTCATGTTTTTGTAAAGACATTTGCAGCATTCATTTGCAGCTTACCCTTTTCCTTAGAAATCTGTTTCTGCATTACGGCATTCTGCAGTACAGCAGTGCTTGGCACAGTCTGTGCCACGCAGTGCATGGCTGTGACAGCCTGCACTGCCTGCCTTTAGCACCACTCCTGTCGGTTTGAACACGACTCCTCAGCTATGTGCCAGCTCTGCGTGGGGAAAAATGCAGAGGTTTCAATCGATAATGATGCATTCCAACCAATAATACGCCTCATTAATCTCTTATTACTGAGTTTCTTGTCCAGGCTGTTTAGCCAGACAGATCAGCCCATGAATGTATAATATTCAAGTGTATTTTTTTTAAATACGAAGGAATTTGTGTCTGGACACTTAAGACTGGGTCAGCAGTTGGTGAAGTATTTCTAAGCAGAAGGGCTTTGCTTTTAATGCCTGACACATCTGTGTGCGTTGGAGAATCACAGAATCATAGCAAGGCTTGGGTTGGAAGGGATCTCGAGGATCATCAGGCTCCAACCTCCCCCTGCCCCCCCCCACCCCGCCACAAACAGGGCCGACAACCTCCATATTTAATACTAGACCAGGCTGCCCAGGGCCCCATCCAACCTGGCCTTAGAGGAGATGCTGCTGGAGGAGACCAGGATTGAAACATGTCTTTTCACACTGCCTCAAAGTACATGAGCAAATGGTTCAGTGGGCAAAACGTCTGATGCTCTGGCTGTGTGGGATTTAGTGAGTTCTTAATAAACTCGTGGAACAGAGGAGACAGTGGCTCTGCAGTTACTTTGTGGTTTTAAATAAACTTCTGACAAGCTGTAGTTGCTATAAGCAGGATTACTGGCATTGAACTTTTCTCTCATCCAGCTGGAAAGCAAAACAAAGCCTGGCATTAATGAGGCAATCCTATTACATTTAGAGCTAACAAACAAAACCGAAGCCTCTTGAAAGTGTCGATCTGCAGGACAGTAAAACCAAGCACTGCCATCGCTGGTGCTCTGCAGCTCAGCTTTCTCCTTCAGGAAATGCAGTGCCTTTAACCAAGATGTGCTGTTACTTTGCATTTGGAGAATCCATTGCAAACCAGAATTTAATCCAGACTCTCAGCTTGTAGTGAATTGCAGCAGTCCCTGATGCTATCACCATGGCCTTGTCCTCATGATGTCACCGGCTGCGGTCCCCAGAGGACACGTGGGCTCTCAATGCTCGCTGGCAGCTCCTTTGCTTGCGTTTCCTGCTGCAGGCAGGCTGCTCTTACTGCTCTGCTGTGCCTTCATTTTAATCTGCTTGGGTTTTAAATATATCATCTGCATATGGATGTCCCAGTGATGCTACAGAGAAAAGGATGGCTGTTGTGACTGACGGGAGAGCCGAACAGTTTGTTCACCAGGCATGTAGCGCATTTAGCTGTGCTAGCATATTTATAAACACGCTGTATTTTAACTGGGTGATCTCATCGCCTCTGTGGAAGAGGGGTTATAAAGACACATGCTGAAGTCTTCATGTGTAGGGAAAAACATGGCCTCGGTGGCTCATGGAAAAAAACACGTTTATCGCTGAGATGGAGCTGTTGAACTGAAGCCATTTCTGGAGAGACAAGAGAAGTGTTGTGCTTGATGCAGAAATGCTAGACTGAGTGGGGCTGGACTTATCTGGAGTTCAGTGGAACTTCTAAAACACAGTTTTCAGTGGGGAAAAAATGTAAGAGAAGTCTCTTGTAAGAGACAGAAACAAACAAAAATCCCTCCATTGCATTGGAACAGGTGAAGCAGCACTAGGTGTGTCTGAACCAAACATGCCAGCAGATGAGCACTGCTCTGAATAACAAACTTTGCTGGTTATAGTAACAGCTGTAATGGAATATATTTGTGCTGTTTGTACAAATTATGCTAAATGAACACAATCAAAGTGTGGAAATACACAGTTGAGTTTCTCCAAGTAAACCTAGCTCAGCCTTGGACACACGATATGATTATTTTCTCCCTGGGCAACCTGATGGAGCTGTTGTGTTCCTGTTCAGTGCAGGGGAGTTGGACTAGTTGGCCCTTCTCACCACAAAACCACTTGGAGGGATGCACTTGTGAAGCATGGTTTGTTTCTCTTCTTCATGGCCCAGCATAGCTATGTGTACATATGGTTCACACAGAGTGGAAATACCTTCCTTATTTCTTTGCTGGTGTTACCTCACTCCCCAGGGAAATCCATACCTGAGCCATGCAACCTTCAGAGGCACAGCTGGAATGTAGGGAACCTTTTTTTTTAACAGGTAAGATAGACATAAAAGCCTGCAAAAAAACCGATGTGCCTTTTGAGACAAGATGGATAGGGTAAGTAACACAGCAACAGAATCATTAAGCTCAGATGAAGTTTCAGAAATAAAGGGAATTTGGTTATAGGGGGCAGGGAGAAAAAAAAGCTTTTGGAAAGAGGAGTTCATGTTGGTGTCTGTCTGCCTTGTAGGTACATACGTTCTGACAACTGCCCTGCTGCCCCTCCTAGAAAAAGAAGCTGATGCCAGAGTGGTAAGTTTGGGATGCTGTTGGAAAGTGGTGTTTAACAGTTCTTTTCCTGTGATTTGTGACAGCATCTCTTTGCCTATGTTAGCAATGCAGCATTATTTATAATTCCATGAGCACCTCTAGTATCCTCTTGGATTTTGCCAGCAATGAGCTCCTTCTCCAGTTCTTGCCTGCTGCTCTGAACCCTTCATTGGAAAGCAGAGTAAAATATTTCCTTTAGAAACTTTCCTTTTTTGTTTCCCTGGGGCTAGTTAGCTCCTGCAGTGTAGTGCAAAATACTAACAGGAGTATAGGCTTAAAAACCTTTACTGGTTTTGGTATTTGGAATTTAGAATAGGACAGAAAGTACATTTTTAACATGAAATTTCCTAAGTTTTGTATAGTATCTCTTGTTTCTAATTAGCTTATATTAAATGCTAAAGGTATAAACTACAAATAGTGCTGTTTTGCTGTTTTCTTTCTGCCAATTTCACTTCGAAAGGAAAAAAAGACAAAGAGTTCCCTGATGGAGTCGACACCATTTTGAATGAAAATCAATTGTTCATTTCTTTTTAAAAGTAATTCTTCCACTATATCTCCAGGTAAGCTCCATGTATGAGCATGAGCACAAGCACAGCGGGGAATGGGCAGGAGAGTCCTGCTCCCAGGGATTCCAAAATGTGGAATTACATGTGAATTACTCATTCACATGCATGAGTAAACGACACTGGGGAGTTGTTTGCTTTTTCATTTGTTTTTCATTCATTTGCTTGCAGGTAACTGTCTCTTCTGGGGGCATGCTAGTTCAAAAACTAGACATATCTGACTTGCAGTCAGGAAGTGGGACGTTTGATGGAACTATGGTGTATGCTCAAAACAAGGTACAGCCCTGGTTTTGAAAACGAAGCCTAGCACTTATTTGCATGCTGACATACCATCTGCTTTGCACAAAGCCTTCACACACACACACACACACACACACACACACATAAAGTTTGCTGTGGCTTTCCCATTGCATCCAACCTGTTCAGAGATATGCAGGCAATAATCTTCTGTTGATGTCACGCACTTTTGGTGCATATCACCTTGGCAGGGGGAACATGACTTTCATTTGGTTTGATTCAAGTTTCAGTGGGGAACACTGTCTTTAGCTGACAATCCCTTTCTGTTTGCTTGATTCTTCCTTGCAGTCTACAGCAAGCAGAAATGGTGAGTAAAAGCAGTGTAACCCCTTTAAGAATAAGCTTGTGGGTATGGTAATCATGATGGTGATCATGATGGTCTCTGCCAAAATTACTCACTAAGCCCAATGTGGGTGAGCAAGGATATATTTCTGCTATACATAAGTGCCATGATATTGCACATTTGGTATAGTTTACTTCCCTGGGAACAAACACTGTGGAGAGGATGTCAGACTTGATGCTAATCTGGCTGTTCTTGCTCTATTCTAGAGACAGCAAGTTGTCTTGACAGAACAATGGGCAAAAACTCACAGAAGCATCCATTTCTCTGTTATGCACCCGGGCTGGGCAGACACTCCAGGTATCATTTGCTTGACACTCAAACTCCCTTTTTTTTCTAGACTAGCCTAAAAGCAAACAGAAGAGAGACTTTCTGCTAAACTGCTCTAGCAGGTGCAGTCATTTCTTGTCTCTGAACTGGTGCTTAGAGTAGTTTTGTACTCCCTTGGTAGTCCTATCCTGCACAATGTCTGCCATCTGCATGGAGCTGGAGAATAATAAAGGGCTGCAAATGATTCCAGCCCCATGCAAATGCACAGAAAAGCCTCAGTGCTTGAAGCTAACCTCTAAATTGCATTTGCAACAGGACTGTTAAACACAGAGACAGCTTCTGCCTCTGCGAGCACCAGTGTGCAGATGTTGTAAGCCTTCAAGGATGCACGGGAAAAACAAGCACGCATCGTGTGCATGCCTTGTTCCTCTGCTCTTCCTCTAAACATTTATAGTCATGGAGAAGTGGTGTGCTTGGCTAGACAGCTCTGTCTGAGCTGCAGCTGTTCGTTACTGCCTGGCTCAGCAGGAGGGCCAGCATGCGGGTTGTGTTCTGCAATATGTTCTCAGCCCCTCACACCCCAGCTTGGGCTGCAGACTAGCAATCCAATATCTGATTATTATTTTTTTTTTTTCCCCAGGGACACAGTTTTCCAAATTTGTTTCTTACAATAGAGACATTTAAACCCATCTACTTTTTGCTTGAAAATTAATCTGTCCAAATCTTAGTGTTACTTTTTCTTTAAAATATATTTATTTTGCACATCGTTGATGCGTTCCCAAACCTAATGATCTTTAATGTTATGCCATAAAGTTCAAGGGCTACCCAATCCCCTAAAAATAAACAGCTGCAGGAGACAGGCCTTCAGTCATCATCTGTTATATAAAATATAAATAATCCAGTGTTTAAACACCGAATATGTAGTTAGTTTCACCATAAAATTTTGAAACACTGTGCTGCAATTGATTTCCTAAAACGGATGTGAAAATAAGAATTAAAATCTATCAGAATACCTGTTTATTTGGTATTTCTATTTCCCCCATGTTTAACTTCTTTGGAATTGGATCAGAAACCTCTCGCTAATCCTGTTCTCACCTCCTGTTAATTTTCTTAGTGCAATTCGATCCAAACAAGCAATTGCTTGATCATCTGGCAGCTTAACGCTATTCCACCGTGGTCACCATGTGCCTGGCTATGGAGAAATACTTTCATTATTTTTGAGAAGCCTTCCCTTCATTGTACACTCACAATGGCAATTTTAAGCATAACTTTTTTTAATCATAAAAGCCTTGCATGGTAGCCCACCATCCCATTGTTCTCTCTAGCTGTGAGGTCCTCGATGCCAGACTTCTATCAGAAGATGAAGAACAGCCTGCGTACAGAGGCGCAGGGAGCTGATACTGTGGTGTGGTTGGCAGTATCATCTGAGGCAGCAAAGTTACCCAGTGGCCTCTTCTTCCAAGGTGAGTCTGTCATTGCATGTCAATGGAGACTGCTAACTGCAATTGTAGCATCCTAATCTGGCCTGGAAAGTGATGGAGACTGGACCAGGCAGCTGATTTTCAACGGGTAAAGGGTTTCTCAAAGTTATCCCAAGACTAAAAGTTTAAGTGAGCTCTTAAGAAAGTAAAGAGAAAGTCCTGTGAAAGACTGTTAAACTGTTGTGTTCCTGCTTTTGTCCTCTAAATCAGCTCAGAGACTTCAGAGCATTTCCTTAGGGAAGTTTTCTTGGTTTGAAGTGAAGATGGCTGTTTGCAGAACTGTGCCAACGGAAAGTAAATCACAGCAGCCAAAACTGCATCTTTTATGATGCTGGGAAAGTAGCAGCCCTCTCACAGAGTGCTGAGGGTTGGCTGTGCTTTGACAGGTTCTTCCTTCCTACCTCTCCATGCTCATGTGAAACTGCCAACACCCCCTTTCTCTGAAGCCAGGCAGAGATCAGAACACAGTGGCTTTTTTTTGGCATTACTAGCATAATGAATTTAAGTGGAAGAAATAGGCCAGAGCCTCTTCTCTCAGACAGGTGGCAGGCACCTGAGAGAAAGCAGCTGGAAGCATAGATGTCTCAGTCCTGATGCAGGTCGGTCCACTAGGAGGAAGGCAAAGCTTGGGATAACTGCTTACAGGCACCCCACGCTGCGTGTTGGATGTCAAATTGCAATTCACTGGAGTTTCTAGTTGGAGCATGCAGAAAGTTTGGACTTTTTGAGCTGAGTTTACTTTGTCCTTTCTGTTCCCTCCCAGGCATTGCACTGGGTTGGTATACTTCACCTGACCTTTTGCATGTCTTCATGTGGTGCATGCAGAAACAACACCTCCCAACTGGTCATTCCACTCTCTAGCCCCAGAATTGCCTTTTTTTTGTACTCCTGTCATCTCCTGCTGGTCCTGACTTCTTCTCAGAAGAATCCATGCTCTGGATCCTAATTCCAACAGTCCCTTGCTTTTGGCCTTGGTCTAACTCTGGCCTTAGTAAACAGGAAACATGCGTTGGCTCTTCAGCTGTAGGTAATGACTTCTGAGAACTTTGGCATGACTGCTCTTAAGATTGCAAGGGAATTTTTGTGTCGTGTGCTTACTGCATAGAGATGGAGTCAGACAGTTTTTTCTCTCCCCCAATGCCTTATGGGTGCCACAGGTTAGAGTGTAAGGTCTTTGGATCCTTTAGTAAAGGGTTTAATGTGCTGGAGTCAATGCAGACCCTTCTGATCCTAGACGGCCATTTCCTGAGTCAGTAACACCTTCCCCCCGTTTCCTCTGTTCCGTTTTATTCTGTTCCCTTTGAGTGCAAACTAGAGCCAGCATTTCTTTTTCCTGAGGAAAAAAAAAAAAAAAAGGTAAGAACATGACTCCTACAACCAGAATTCTCTGCATCTGCCAAAATAAATAAAAAATGTCTGACAGGGTCCTGCTTTCCAAGTCTGGAAGCATCCTTTCTGCGATACTGAGCTCAGCTTTCACACACGGTTCCCAAACTTGAGCACAAACTTCTTGAAACACCCCCGTCACTTAGGAAGCAGTCCATGTTCAGTGACAGAGAAAGGAATGTTCCTCTGCCTGTTTCTCTCTCCTTGCGTTTCCCGAGCAGAGGTTGTGTGGTGCATGCAGCCAGTTACGACATTTGCTCTAAAGAGATGAAACGTCTCTGCTCCCCTGAGAAGCCTGATAGGCTTTCAGAGAAATCTGCTGCCCACTGTTGGAACAGATTATTCTCTCATCTCAGCTGGTTCATGCAGAACTTGGACTTCATAAGTAAAGTAATGGTGCTGCACTAGTGCTCTCACAGTTGTTTCGTAGACATCGAAGAGCACTTCCATAAAGTTCCTCAGCTCCAGATGCCATGCTTTTTGAGAGAAAAAAATCCCTTCAAATCCACAGTGGTACAGCTGCATTTACAGAGTGAGTGAGGAGAACAACGTATGGAAAGCCAGCCAAAGTATCACACTGAATAAGTTTGGTCAAACATCTTTATTGTGTGCACATTACTTGTGGCAGTTGAGTAATTAGCAGAAGTTCTTTGGCATGTAGAATTTATCCATTTATGTTTAAGGATGAAAGTAAGCTTTTAAAGATAGAAAGTAATCCAAACTACAGAGTCCCAGTTGAGAAATTTGTGTAGCACTAGAAGCATTACCCAGGAGACAGTGAAAAACCCTTTCTGATGCAGAAAATGCAACTTCTATCTTTAAGAATAGTCACAAGCTCCTGGTCTAACAGAAGTCAAACTAGTGACTGAGAGCAGGCGTAAACCCCACAGCAAGGCCTTCCTTTATCCATCTGCAAATGAGATCTCACTCACCACTCTGAGTCATATTGTGTGAAAGGCCAATTATTCTGGTTCCAGGAAACAAATGAAATTAATTTCTGGTTTGGAAGATGTACATAACTAGTATAGAGCATAGCTGAAAAATCTCTTTTGTGCTTGAAGTGGTAGATAAATATACCTATTTTTTCTTTCTTTCTTCCAGACAGGCAACCAGTCCCTACACACCTACCCTTAGCAAGAACCCACAGCCTACCAGGGGATGAGGAGAAGCTAATGGAGGTGCTGGAAGAATTCTCCCGGAAGTTTAAATCCTCTTCTCCGGGATCCCCTCAGTGCTGCTGAAGATCATGGAGCAGATCTTCCTGGAAAATATGCTAAGGCACAGGGAAGAGAGGGACATGATATGGGATAACCAGCATGGCTTCACCAAGGGCAGGTCCTGCCTGACCAACTTTGTCACTTTTTATGATGGTGTAACTGCATCAGTAGACAAGGAAAGAGCCACTGATGTCATCTATGTGGACTTCAGAAAGGCCACAGTCCCCCATAACAGCTTTCTCTCCAAACTGGAAAGAGACAGAGTCCCCTATAACATTCTTCTCTCCAAAGTGGAAAGGTATGGATTTGATGGGTAGACAGTTCAGTGGACAAGGAAACGGGATCGTACCTTGGGAGTGGTGATCTATGCATTGATGTGCAGATAGAGATCAGTTACAAGTGGTGTTCCTCAGGGCTCATTACTGGGACCTGTACTTTTTAACATCTTAATTAATGAACAGTGGGATCGAGTGCACCCTCAGCAAGTTTGCAGATGATGCCAAGATGTCTGGTGCAGTTGATACACCTGGGGAACAGGATGCCATTGAGAGAGACCTAGACTGCCTTGAGCAGTGGGCCCAGGAGAATCTCCTGAGGTTCAATAAATCCATATGCAAGGTCCTGCACCTGGGTTGTGGTAACCTCTGCTACCAGTGCAAACTGGGGGATGTAAGCATGGAGCACCGCTGCAAGGGACCTGAATGAACAGGTGGATGGGAAGCTGGACATGAACCAGCAATGGACCCTCGCAGCCCAGAGAATCAACCATATCCTTACAAAGCAGTGTGGCTGGCAGGGCGAGGGAGTTCATCCTGCCTTTCTGCTCTGCACTGTGAGGCCTCACCTGGAGTACTGCATCCAAATGTGGAGTTCTCAGCACAGGAGAGACACAGACCTGTTGGAGTGCATGCAGAGGAGGGCAGCAAAAATGATCATCTCTCCTGGTGATCATTTTTGAGGGAGCTGGGACTGTTCAGCCTGGAAAAGAGAAGGTCTGCCAGGGAGACCTGAAAGCAGGCTTTCAGTACCTAAAGGGGGGCTGTAAGAAGGAAGGAACAGACTCTTTAGCAGGGTCTGCTGTGACAGGACAAGGGGAAATGGTTTCAAACTAAAAGAGAGGAGATTTAGGTTGGACACAAGGAAGAGGTTTTTTACTACTTTTTTACAGAGGTGAGGCACTGGAACAGGATGCCCAGAGAGGTGGTGGATGCCCCATCCCTGGAGACACCCAAGGTCAGGCTGGATGGGCTCTGAGTACCTGACAGAGCTGTAGGTGTCCCTGTTTGTTGCATGGGAGTGGGACCAGATGGCCTTTAGGGGTCCCTTCCAACTAAAAAAATCCAGTGATTCTATGATCTTAGCATCACTGCTGATACAGCATAACCACAAAGCTTTTAATTACTAACAGTGCTGTAGTGTACCTTCAGTGGAGGAGAGGAATAAATTGTATTCAGATGTGATCACTGTTGTTAATGGTGGTCCCTGCAAATTTGTTCTGTTCCTGAGAGTCTCACCCACTGTGAGTACGCACGTACTGTCTCAAGACACAGTAAGGATGTAGTCTTTGAATTGGACAGAAAATTTGGGAGGCATTAAAATGAAACCCAAGTGACAGCTCCGAGCTTTGTGAAGTTAACCAAAATCTTCCGAAGGACGTAGCACACAGAGAAATGCAGAGGAGTGTACCTTCAGAAGTCTTCAGGAAATAAATGGTTAAAGTTTCAAATGATATTTAAACACTGTATTTGACAGGTTGGTTGCTTCCTTCAGCATATGAAGATGACTAGGCTCAAATGTGTTACTGGGAATGCAGAAACTCCTGCATCACTTGCTTAGTTTAAATGGAAGGATTCTGCACAGCCTTCAGTTTCTATAAATCAATGCTGGTATGCAGAAATGATCTGCTTCTTCATGTTTAAACAGCAAGAATTTAGGAACGCTGCCAAATGCTTTCCACATTACTTTATGGAGCCAGGACTGAATATTATCCTGTTTATGTCAAGACACTATGAAGTAGGAGGCTTTAACACATTCCACACCCAGACATAGTTGGATCCCTCCCCTTCAGGAAGCAGAGAAATGGCTCCATGGCTCTGGGCAGGAAAACAAATAGCATACTAAGCTGTACGTGCTTGCCATTTCTGTGAAAGATTGGGGAATTGCTTTATCATAACAAATGGAACGCGAAGGGAAAGGGAAAATGGGAGGCACAGGCTTTAGAGAACTCCATCTCCTGATAAGAGAATTTTGCCTGGAACTGTTTTATTTGTAGACACAGAAGGCAGAATTTGTCTTACCTGATCTGCAGAATTACTCACTGGAATTCTCACTCTAAATCAGTAGAGAGAAAACAAGCTCCTTTACAGTGATTTAATGGATCTAGTTTAAGAAGCCCTTACATTTCTGCTTCTTTTTAATGACTGTGAAGATAACCAGCTCATAACAAAGACATTCTAGTGGGATTATCTTTATCTTTTATACTACAAATGTACTGCAAAGCCAGGACTGTTATCAGCAATCCCGGTGACGTTTTTCTCCTGAGCCAACTGTGCTTGCTGGCAAACTGCATCCAAAACCCCCCAAAACTACACTACTGTTTCTACACATCACTGTGGATCGGTGTGATACGTCAAAAGAACTAGAAATAAAAATATCACAGGTGTTCTTTGGAGCTCTCTACGATGACTGATGGGCAAGGAACACATTATGTTTACTTCACATAATTGAGTTTCCCAAAAAATTGGTTGAACACGGTCCCGGATCAGACCTTTCCATTTTCAATTCAGTCAATTACTGAATCTTTGGAATGACAGCATTTTTTTGAAGACATAATCATAGAATCACAGAATGGCTTGGGTTGGAAGGGACCTTAAAGCCCATCCAGTCCCAATCCCCTCTCAGGGCAGTGCCAGCCAGCAGCTCAGGCTGCCCATGGCTCCATCCAACCTGGCCTTGAGTGCCTCCAGGAATGGGGCATCCACAGCTTTTCTGGGCAGGCCAGGTTGAATGGGGCCTTGGGCAGCCTGAGCTGCTGGCTGACAGCCCTGCGCACAGCAGGGGGATGGGACTGGATGGGCTTTAAGGTCCCTTCCAACCCAAGCCATTCTGTGATTCTATGAACTACAGCTATTGAAAACAAAAGCCTGACTGAAAGGCTTAAGTAGTAACTGCATTTCTCAGTCTAGTAGCTGCAAAGCTAATAAAAACAATATATACTTGAGTGTTTAAGTCAAGTTGCTTCACTGCTCTGCAGAAGAAAAGTTTAATGACTTAATGATACTTAAATAGTTCATAAAATAACCCAAAGTGCTCTTTAACATATATTAAATGTACATTCTTTACTAGTTTATTAATATATCCTGTATTTTTCGTTATAGTCACTGCTTACAGTGGAAATAAAGCCATAAAACTGCTTTAATCAAAGTTTGGTTATAATGTGAAAAAAGAGACAGATATTGCGGTTTAAGAGCCCTTACAATTTTAAATAACATTAAATACAGGTCAGCAATTAGAAACCAAATCTGGAACCTCTCACAGTGCTGCTATTATGTCTCCAGTTAAACTTTATTCTTCCTTTACCACAAGAGCAAATGAGGTACAAAGCCGTAAAGCCAGCGAGATGCTTTGTTTTAATGTAGTCGGCACAAATTGTACCTGCATCTAAGCAAATACATTTAGTATCACCTATACAAGTCCTAGAGGCAAGAGTAAAATGGCATCCAGTGACAGACTATCAGAAATAGAAGGCTGTCCAAATTCCTGCTAAGCAGCGCACGTTAAGGACTGCGATGCACACCTGCTCTATGGGATTCGGGTGTGATGCTGAATATGCCACACTTGGGCTCAAAGGCAAGAGTTTTCCTATAGAGTTTAGTGTAAACTCTTAAAAAACCCTCCATGTAAAGAACTTCACAGAATCACAGAATCACAAGGTTGGAAATGACCTGCAAGATCATTTAGTCCAACCACCCTCCCATTCCTATTAGTACCACAAGCTTATTTGGTGGAACACAGTCCTGGGCCTCTCCATTTTCAATTCAGTCAACTACTATATCTTTGGAATGCTAGAGCATTTTTTGAAGGCCTAATATTAGGAGCAGTACTAGTTTTCACTAATGTTTAGCTAGTGAGTGCACAATGCTATTGCCAAATAGGTCAGTTTCAGATGACAACCTGGTGGCCATTGACTTCAGTGGAGGAGGACAGCTACAAAATAGTTTAATCTACACTTCCTTTCTACCCATGCTCTTCCATTCACTGTGCGTGCTGCTCTGTCACACTCCCCACAAAAGGAATGCCTTCTGATGACACCAGATACTACTTATACTAAATTAGGGCTGATCACCATCCACCCAATGGCTCTTGCTCTCTGTCAAGGCAGAATCTAATGTGCAGCCTACCAAGAGGCACAGCCTGGTCAAAGGGTTTTCAGCCTGAGAGCTTGCTGTGCCAGCAATGGCAGGAGTACCCACAAATAAAGTGCTGGAGGAGTGGGAGACGTAAAATGAGAGCCAGCAGAGACTGCAGCGAGCTGCTAGGAGGCGAGGTTTTCCTTGCAAAAGTCTTCTTGGTCATTTTCCCATTGCTTTCAGATACTGCAGGAGTTGAGAATCCACAGTTTGGAAGCTCTTAGAACTGGAAAGGCAAAAAGGAAGCTATGGGATGAGGCAGGAGATTGGACAGTGAGCTCACTACCCAGCCAGCCTGCTGACACACTGCTGGGTTGGTATACTGAAAAGAAGTGACACTGTTTGCTCATGGGACAGTTGTCAGTTCTGTGCCAACGACCTGACCTGACCAGACAGATGAATGAGACTGGTGAAACTCAGCAACCTGAATTTCTTGTTACAGATCAATGCAGACATTGAGAAGGAAAACAGCCAGGAACTGATGGAAATACCCCAGTCAACTGGCACTATTTATTCAGTTCCATTGAGAGGGTTAGATATGTAAAGGAACAGAAGTGGGAATTGTTACAAGACAATTAGCAGGAAAAGATGGTCACATTGTTGAGCAATGCTCCTGGAAACACCGACCCCAGCAAAAGCTAGTAGGATTTTCCCTGCAAAGTCCCCAGATTCTGAAAGACAGTGAACTTCACACACTTCTGATCTGATCACGGAGTTGTTAAGGTTGGAAAAGACCTCTGAGATCATTGAGTCCAACCATCAGCCCATCCCAGCATGCCCGCTAACCATGTCCATCAGCGCTACATCTGCGGTACAAGCTCCAGGCAGAGTGGGCAAAGGGGAAATAGTTTTTACTCAACATCAAAAACAGTGCCGAAAGCTTCAAGAAACTATTTTGAAAGTGGTTGTAATTACTAAAGTTAAATCAAGTTCATGTACTCCTTGTTGCTGAAACTTCAATGATTGACTGGTGGTGGCAGCCACACTGCTTGTGACAGGACAAAGAAGAGGTGCTAATGGGTCCTTCACATCCCAGGGAAGCCCTGCCCAGTTACAACCCCGTTTGTACTTGGTTGGCATCTGCAGTGATGCCTCACTGAGTAAGCAGGGATGGAAAAATTGTGCAAAGCTCCAGAAAGTTGAGGCTAGATGAGCATTAAAACAAAGGACAAGAAAGGGAGATCTTCATAGGCTCAATCTCACACCTCATCACTGGCACAACTTGTGGCTTCTGGATCCTGATGTGGGCTGTGGTAAACTGGTAGTGCTAGGACAGAGGGTAGTTCAGCTTTGCACAGTTCTGATGTTTCCATTTAATTTTATATATATGTTTGCAAACATTTTGGTGGCAGACTGGGCTCTCTTGTTATCACTTTGTTTCGAGTTCAGTGTCCCCTTGTCTGAAAGTTGAATGTCCTTGAACTCAACTTCTTTCTGCTCTTAGCAGCAGTGTTGTCCAATGTTTCAGAGATGGCCAAAGACAAGTCACAAAATTCCTACAAACTGAGAAAACGTATGGAAAAGTCACATGTAACTACACAGAGTTAAATGCTGAAACTGAAATCTTAGAACGTCTGGTTTTGTTTGTTTATGTTGAAGGGCAAAGATTTCCTGCCAAATTTCGTGTGAGATTTTGAAGAGGAGATCCTGTTCTTCCTCACAAAAGATCAATGCTAAAGGGACTCAGCATGTTAATGCGTCTTGAAAGAGGTTCATGTCTGTTCTTACTGCTCCGTGCTATCATCACATATGGAAACAGTTTTAGACACTGATTGAAAACATCGTATTTGCTCAGTGGGGCCCCCTGGAAAGGACAGGCACCTGCAAAGCCACTTGCTGCACAACTACCTCCTATGGACTACACAACAGAATTTTGGTTGTTTTGACACAAATTCTTTTGTCAATAGCAAAAACAGACACATACTACATTTTTTAACTACTTAGCAGCCCCAGTATTTTTCTAAGCCATGTAGTAAGTGAAGATGTTAAGTGGACTTTTAATTACAGAAGCACAGCACAGCTGAGGCTGGCAGGGCCCTCTGGGTGCCTCCACTCCATCCCCTGCCCCAGCAGGGACACCCAGAGCAGGGTGCCCGGGGCCACGTCCAGGCAGCTCTGGGAGATCCCCAGGGAGGAGACCCCACAGCTTCTGGGCAATCTGTGCCAGTGCTCCGTCACTGCGCAGCACAGAAGGGCTCCTGGTGTTCAGAGGGAACCTCCTGTGCTCCAGTTTGTGCCCATGGCTTCTGGTCCTGGCCCTGGGGCACCACTGAGAGAGCCTGGCTCTGGCTTCTGGCACCCTCCCTTCAGAGATTTATGGACATTGATGAGATCCCCCTGAGTCTCCTCCTCTTCTCCAGCTGTGTAACCCCAGCTCTCTCAGACACTCCTCACAGGAGAGGTTCTCCAGGCCTTTCATGATCCTTATGGCCCTTTGCTGAACTCTCTCCAGTACATCCACATCTCTCTTGTACTGGCCAAGCTCTAGATACAGCTGGGGGAGAAGTTGCTTATTCCTCTCCAACTGTGATACCCTCAGCAGGCATGAAGTTAACTTTTCGTTTTCCTACAGCATTTTTTTGGATCGTGTACAATCCTTTTTGTGCATCTGGCCATCCATCTTCTTATCAGCAGCCAAGCCATGCAAAGGGAATGCATCTCTCCTTCTCACAGGTCAGGGCATATTCATGCCACACTCTCAGGTGAAGGGCTGTTATCACTTTCAATGTGCCAGGAGTCAATGTGCTGACGTCCACAAGGCAGAAGGTCAACTGGGCTTCACTGCAGTAGCAACAGACAGGAATGAGAGCAGATGAGGACAGCAATGCCACCATCTGGGGCTATTCTGACTGACAGACTTTGACTCCTATTATGCCCTCTCCTGTTTCGAAATCTCTAACCCTGGTGTTATGTCTCCTGCTCCAGAAGGACCATCAGTACTATCCTTGCACTGCCCACGTTCTTTTCATAGAATCACAGAACCACAGAATGGTTTGGGTTGGAAGGGACTTTCAGAGATCATCCAGTTCCAACCCTGCTGCTCTGGGTAGGGCTGCCACCCACCAGATAAATGTTCATGTTTACCTTCCTTCTGAAGCCTGTGTGGCTGTTTGTGCGACCTACGCCTTCCTCACCACCTGCATGAACACTATAGTTTCCACTCCATTGAAAGCCAGGTGGGTAGGTTCTCTGAAGGGCACAGCTTTTTCCCCTGCAGAGACACCAGATAAGAGAGAAATGAAAACCAAGTTTTCTAAAATCAAGAGCAGGGGAAGGCCAGCATTGTCTGTATGCCCTCTGGCACAGCAGGATGTAGCACTAAAAGCTTGCTGCTGAAGTTCAGCAGCCCTGGGGAAGAGAAGCTTTTTGTTTGAGTCCATGTGGGTGAAGTGTATGGCTTACATCTGTACCAAAAGACACAGCACTGTGCCCTCCCCCAGTAATACAACAAATAAAAACAGCTTACGTTTGTTATTTGACAGTTATAATTGAAAGAAAAGGACCAGGCAATAGGGATTCTTTTTTTTTCTGATCTAGAAGACAAAATAAATAGATATGGTTACACCAGCCATGCAAGACAGGAAGGTAAGAGAGATGCTTCTCTTTCTTCCCCAGCTTTCTCTTCAGCTTGTACCATTTTCTAAGTCACGACCAGTCTGACCTGGGGCTGCAAGGTAACAGGGCATCAAGTTAAACCCAAATAACCCTCCAGGTAGTTTATTCAGAAAAAACAGCAAGGGAAAGTTTGCAAAATGGGTTCATATACCCAATATCTACCCATAAGCAACACTGAAACCACAGCTCCTTGGGAAGAGAAGATGGGGACAAGAATTTACCACAGGAGTTAAAACATACCTTGCTCCAAAATTTGGTCATCTTTGGAGTTCCTCACTTTTGTTTGAATAAGATGTGTCCTGAAGGGCTGGGCATTCACCGAGCAGATCCTCAGCTTGCAGACTTCTGAGCTCCACTGATGTTAAGCACAATTCATGCTGTGGGCCCAGGCCCTGTTGTAGCCATTATGGCTCATCAGGAACAGAGCTGAACGCTGATTACTTGAGCGCTCCCAAGTTTCTGCCACCATGTGAATTACTCTCTGTGGCAGCAGAGCAAGTTCTGGCCAAAAAGCCTAAAGCCCAGGGTAATGTGGAACAGCATAGGCCAGCATAGTTTTACACACCTTCTCCAGCTGGAATGAAATCCTGGCAGTAGACTCACTCATCTTGCATGCCTTCCAAGAGGAAACAAGCATCTAATTTCCAGGAAAGAAAGTAGGAGGGCTTAAAGATTAGTAACGTTTCAGCAGTAAAGTGAGTCTTTTTAGTGAGATGTGAAATATGTTTGAAAACGTGCTTTAAAAAAATTGCTGCATAGAGGGGAACCAACAACAGGCTGTACAGCCAGGAAAGCAGGAGTGGCATCATTTCAGACAACACAGCTGCAGAATGCTTGAACACCATTTACAGGATGTATAAAAAAAAAAGAATTTTCCCTGAAGAATTTGCCTTCATGGAAGCAGCTCCTCAGACTCAGATTAATGTTATGAATGGCACTTACCTTTTTTGTTCTGTTTTCTTTTTTTTTGCATTCTCTCCCAGTGAAGGCGTACAGCTCTTCTCTGTGTAGCAGTGTGCTTTATGGTGGTAAACACCACAACCTCCCACCGAGAGGGGAGAAGCAAAGGGCAAAATGGGGGCAAGGCTGAGCGCTGCTGACTGCTGTATTTCATCACAAAGACTAACAGCAGCCCTGCATCAATAGGAGATACAGGAACACTCAGCCTGCAGAGCAAGAGTATTGCCAATAGAGTGTTAAAAAGCAAAATGGATTTAGAGGAACCCAGAGATGACTCCTCATTTAAGACAGATCTAGCAAAAAAAGTTTTGCTTTTCTTTTTCCATCGTGACTCTTTCCTTTTAAAAGGATAAGTTTGGTCAATCCAGGCTTTTTAAATACTTCTTTATTCTTAAAAGAAACTGCCAAATATGACAACAGGACAATAAGTGTTGTTCAGCAATATCAGTTTCTGATCTAGAGAGGAAATTAATAAAAACATCATCGGCATCTTAAAAAATAAATATGACTAAACGTATGGAAAACAGGAAAATCAAATTCATGTTCAACAACACAGACAGGTACAAATGCTGAAATGCTGCTGCACAAGGTAGAGGTAGAGGTAAAACAGACTTCTCAACCCCAGACCAGCTTCAGATCTGCTCCCCCACTCCCCTGCACACACTCCTGAAAGTTGTTGCCAGTAATTTCATTTGAATCCTCCTCAGCCTCATCAGACTGCAAGCAGGTCCGTGTGCTCTTTCTGATGCTCCGAGCTGGAAAACTATTTCAGCTTTTGTAGAAATAAGTTGCTAAGCAACCTGGCCCCCGGGTTTTGCAACTGGTGCAGCAAGGAAAGTGGCAGGAAGCCATGCTTTAGCTACAACAAAACAACAGAACGCTCTCCAGATGATGTCTGCTAGGATAAGAGGGTGGTAGAGCCCTTGGTAGAAATTGCAAGTCCATCAGATGCTTGGCGATGTGACCACAGAAGGCACAGTGTCGTGCCTGGAGCTCTTCTGCTGAAGTGAGCATTGTCAGCAGGAACATCCCAAACACACAGGTGGGGAGAGCCGACTGCCTTACACTGGAAACTGACATGGGTAAGACACAAACCAAGAACCCTCGGTACAAAGCAGCAAGTATCCTGACATCATGATGTATAAAAACTAAAAACTGCACTGCACACGGATTCTCCAAACAAACTCAAGACAACTGAAGTCAGATCGTACAAACCGTTAGTTAAAAAAATACCTTCTTGTGTATTTTGAGAATAAATGGAAAGAGTCTTCGTGCAAATGTTCAACCTCGATCAAGCAGAGGACATAAATTGTTGTAAACACATGAGTTCCTTTCTCATCCGCAATATGCGCCTGGCATTACCTATCTTCTGCAGAATGATTAGGGTTAAGAAATCTGCTTCTTCTGTAAATGTCACCCTTCAAGTTCCACTGATGTATCAAGACACTACTGGCGTCATATCCCACAGCTGTTAATACAACAACATATCATAACATGGTGAGTAGTGGTGAAATATAACAACGTAATATATAAAACTAATTTGCACTTTTTAATTTCTGTTTAAGGGAGGCTACGTGCCCAGAGGGGGATGCACCAGGTCCAAAGTTTAATTTCGTTTTCCAACACTCATGTCACTCGACATTTACTCCTTATAAGCCAGGTTAATATCTGGTTTTAAGCTACAAAAACCCATAGCATATTGCTAACTTGTGTGATTAGCAGTTGTAACACAATTACAAGGTAGATCTTTTCTTGCATCCAAGCCTGGGGCCCCCAGCACAAGAAAGACGTGGAACTCTTGGAGGGGGTACAGAGGAGGGTCACTAAGATGATCAGAGGGCTGGAGCACCTCTCCTATGAAGTAAAGTTGAGGAAACTGGGCTTGTTTAGCTTGGAGAAGGCTCCAGGGAGACCTCATTGGTGCCTACCCATATTTGATGGGAGCGTATAAACAGGAGGGGGTATGACTGTTTACGAGGGTGGATAGGGGTAGGACAAGGGGGAATGGTCTTAAACTGGGACAGGGGAGGTTTAGGTTAGGTATTAGGAGGAAGTTTTTCACACAGAAGGTGGTGATGCACTGGAACAGGTTGCCCAAGGAGGCTGTGGATGCCCCATCCCTGGAGGCATTCAAGGCCAGGCTGGATGTGGCTCTGGGCAGCCTGGTCTGGTGGTTGGTGACCCTGCACATAGCAGGGGGGTTGAAACTAGATGAGCATTGTGGCCCTTTTCAACCCAGGCCATTCTATGATTCTATGATTCTACTGTTGTTGTTTGTAATTGCTGAAGTCTTGTTATACACTTATTCATTATTTTAGCTACTTCTCTGCATGGAGTTTTGACATCTGTGGGCCATTTGTTAACCTGGCCTCACAAACTACATCAGCCACTTCAAAAAGCTGTTTTGTGCTCTTTATGGGAAGGGCACTGTTAGCACTGACTTGGCTAGTCTTGTCTCCATCCCTTTGGGTTTACAGACCAAGATCCCTGTGGTCTTTTTTGGGCAGAAGCGTATCAGTTGGTGTGAGAGAGATCAGTGTGGAAAATGGTAGCTAGGACGTACATGGATTCCCATGGCAGAAGAAGAAGAAGGAATGAAGTACAAAAGCTAGAGCAATCTCCTCCCTCCTACCTTAATAATCTTGTCTGTCCCCGAGGTCAGCAGCCATCCTCTAGTGGCATCAAAGTGTACATGAACTATGTTGTGCTTACTGTCGTGGAAAGTAGCTGTGGGCGCCCGCCTTGAAGAAAGAGATCCCAAATCAGAAAAAAACCACAGCTGCCAGGTATCAAGGAAACAAGCATTTGAAGCAAGCGCTGACCTATTATGCACTGATGGGACTTCTGCTAATGGGACCCAGGACCACCCAATGGCTGCTCGCTCCCCAACCCTGCAGCCACTTGGGCCACTCAGGCCCTCCCAGTTACAGGCATTTTGTCCCACTGCAGCTCTGGGCTGCTCGGCGCCCACACTTACTCCTCATCCGTTATGGACTCGTGGCAGCTATCGCAGACCCTCACTTCAAACTCGAACCCCATCAGCGGGATGGAGGAGCGCTTGGAGCTGCACTTGCCGCAGACGGCCTTCCCGCATTTGCGGCAGTGGTGCTGTGGGAGACAACACATGAAAGGACATCTTCAGCCATGAGCCCGGGGACGGGTCGCTGCTCTGCTCCCAGCTCTCCCATCTCACTTTCGCAGGGCTCAGCTGAGGCTGCAGCAAAAAGGAAAGCTATTCTTCCAATGGGAGATGAAGGAAAATGCTCATCTTCATGTACACCCACCTTCTCCTAGCCATGTCCATCTTTTGAGTCTCTCTTTGGGGGAGTAGGGACTACACCCCCAGTGAGCAATAGGTATTGTATTAAAATACGTCAGCTCATAGTAGGACAGGGTACACTGGTATAACTCCAGAGCCTCACCTCAGCCTCTTTGTCTAAGTACAAATACACATGGCCTGATCATCTCAGTCAACCCTGCTGGCCATTTTCTGCCACTGTTCAGCACCATCGTTCCTGCATTCTGATACTACCTGTATTCTGTTTTCTCACACGCTGACTGCATAGGACCAAAGGGCTGCCATGCCTGTCATAGGAAAGACAGACCCTGTGGTGACAAGCATTAAATAAAGGGGAAAGGGCAGCTTAACTGTGACCCAGGCACCTGTTTCAGGGCCCAAGAGGTCACCCTTTCCTGCCTTTTCATGCCCCTCTCCCAGACCATAATCCACAGCCCCCTCTTGTTGGGCAGGGATGCGCAGCAGTATTCCAAGCAGAACAGTTAGCCTTTTCCAACACAGCTTAAACAGTTACAGATGTTTACCCAAGCCCATTAAAAACAGCTTTAGTTCCAGCACGATCTCCAAGAATTAGCTGCAAATTTTTTTCTACAACAGATTCAGATGACAATAAGCAAAATCCCACATGGCTAAAGCTACAGACAGCCCCAAAACAATTTACTCAGCTCAGACTCATACACTTTTTTTACATTTGCTATTGGGACAGGCTGTCAAAATTAAAAAGAAAAAAAAAGACAAAAACATTCTGCTTCCGATGAGCATGAATCATTAAGGGGAGCTCACTGTCCTGTTATTGCTAGAACAAAGAGAAAGTTCTCAAGCCTTTATAGGAAAAAAAGACTCCCATAACATACTGTGAGAGAGAAGGAGCCTAACTGTATCATATTAACACAGCAAAGGGTCCATACACACCTGCCTGAGGCCTATTTTCTTACTGTCCCACATTTGCTTGAAGTTCCAGAAGAAAGGCTGGTCACATTTTTGACAGGAGTCGCTGTCCAGCCACTCAGGGGTCTGCAACACACACAGGTGGGGGAGATGAGAAACAACTTCCACCAGAACCCAGGGACAGGATAAGGAAGATGTGATGGAGTGCAGTAATGTGGTCAGCTCAACTTGATTACAACTCCCCACTGATCATTTTACCCGATCAAGGTGAAGGTATGCAGGAGGAACACTTCTCATCCACCACATGAAGCAGAGTCTGATTCTAAGTCCATAAAAATAACCCAGGAACAAATAAGCCTCTCCAGCCTCTTCAAGTTTGGAACTTAGTATCTACAAATGTATATCTTGTCTGGACAGCATTAACCATCTGCACTGGAGGCAATTAATACTTCCAGTATCCAAGCTACTCCAAGAGGCATTCCTGCTGTCAGAGGTATCTGTGCTGCAAATCTGACAAGGCAGGCAAGATGAGGTTCTGAAGAAGCTTGAAACCCAAAACACCTTTTTTCCCTGCTTTCACATACAGATGATGAAAGGAAAGCTTTCTGTTTCCTAATTCCATGTGTAGATTTGCACTCATGCTGTGGATGAAGTGGGTAAAAAGATTTAAAGAATATAAAGAAAATATTAAAGGCCTTTCTCCCTCCTGCAGCCAGGTTTTGCTGTGAAGAGTAGCAAGGATGGATTCCCTGCAGGGAAGCACTCTCACCAGACACTGAAGGAGCTCAGGAAATGCCTGAAATGGCAGGAGGGCTTGTGGAGGAAGAGAATGACCTCCTCCCCTACACTTGGGTCCCCTGTCACGTGCCTGCTGGTGGACATTCAGTGCTTCTCCCCACAGAGTTCAGGAAACACAGCTTTGGACACGAGACTCCAAGAGTCGTGGTTCCTGCATTTCCAGACGGCCACCAAAATGATCCAAGGGATGAAACACCTCCCCTACAAGGAGAGGCTGAGAGAGCTGGGGCTGTTCAGCATGGAGAAGAGAAGGCTCCAGGGAGAGCTGAGAGCGACCTTTTGGTGTTAAAGGGGGACTGTAAGAAGGAAAGGGACAGACTCTTTAATAGGGTCTCTTGTGATACAACAAGGGAAAATGGGGAAATTCAGACTGTATATAAGAAAGAAGTTTTTTACAATACGGGTGGTGAGGCAGTGGCACAGGTTGCCCAGAGAGGTGGTGGATGCCCCATCCCTGCAGACAGGCTGGAGGGGCTCTGAGCACCTGATGGAGCTGTAGGTGTCCCTGTTCAGCGCAGTGGGGAGTTGGACCAGATGGCCTTTAAGGGTCTGTTCCAACTCAAAAATTCTATGATTCTATGATTTGAACTTTCTCCATCTGTCTGTCCATCCATCTGTCCTGTTTGGGCTTAGCAGGAGTTCTTGGACAGGGGATGACTTCTTCTCACCTCACCAGCAGTACTAGATCCCAAGGACAAGGGTTCAGCCCAAAGTGGTGTTGGTGAGCAGGTCTGTCCCATCCCCAGAGAGGGACAACCCTCCCAACGCTGCCTCAGCATGCTCCTACCCAGCCCCAACTGAGCAAAACTAAACAAATACCAAGTCAAGTTCAAAGTGAGGAAGCCCCATTAATAAACTGCATTTGGCTTCTTCCACACTGTCATTTAAAAAGGCAAGAAATGCAGCTGAGATTGAGAATTAAAAGTACTATGAAAGCCAGACAAAGATACGGGAAGGCGGATGGAGACCCTCAGATCCCATGGCAGTTTTGACCCCCAGCAATAAACTCAGTCAACTCTGAGCTTCAGCTTGTTCTGTCAGTTACTTTGAATGCTGTTCATACTGTAGGGGCAAATCCCTGTCTTTTGTATCCACAACAGTCTTTTAGATTAATGTCTACAGATCTGCATCTGAACAGTACTCATGAAGATGTTTTGCTTGTGACAAGGAACTGCTTTGTAGTCAAATAGAAACACAGCTTCCAGCATTTTTCAGATGTTTTCTTCTCACAGCTTTTTAAAAATAGATAAAAATAAGGAATCAAGCAACAAAATGGCATAATTCACTCCAGTGCAATCGCAGAGACGTGGGAAAATCTCATATCAAACTGAAGACAGCACACATCCAGTGGGGGGGGGAAAAACACTTATATAAGGGGAAAAATAGCAAAGCCAACATCCAAGTATCTGATAATCACATCTCAAGGGTTCATGTTTTAGAGGTGGTTTAACACAGTGGTTGCCCTGCTGCGCTACGGATAACAAGAATGAGCCCACATTGCCATAGTCAGAGAGCACCACACACATCAGCACCTGCTGCTAAGCCCTCCTGTAGCTCATTATACTTCCCCTCCACTTTTTAACCAGCCTTCTCACATTATTGCTGTCTGTTTTGCAACCAACCAGTCTTAACCCTTAGTGCAGTCTTTTGAAGGCTGCCAATAAGTAAGTTTTCCATTTCTGGATGTTCAGGCTGCAGCAAAAAGGAAACATCTGTTGGGAGGGAGAAACCCACTCTGCCTTTGTTTCACTTTTGGAGCTGATGATATAATCGGCCATTAGATTAGCAATTAAAGAGAGCCAAATGGAATGCTAATTCACAGGAAAAAAAAGGGAGCAAGAGTAGCTCAGTTCCTGCTTAGGTCTGTTTGAGTAGGTTTTTAAATCCAATTTTCCACTTATCTTTTTTCCTTGCTCAAGGGAGACGTGCACAACCCAGGGAGACCAAAACCTTCGTGGAGAAGCAGCAAAGCTGATTACAGATTGTGTTGCCAAAAGCAGCTGGGAAAAACTTGCTGCCCTTATCCTTCCTTACTTTTCTCTAATCTTAATTACAGTGGTCTTCCCCACTACGCACTAGAAGGAGCAGGTAAAGGGATGTACCCAGACGTGTGTTTCCAATGCATCTCTCCCAGCCACAGCCCCACACTTGGCTGGCAGTAACCTTGCCCCAAGTGACCCACCAGGGGTATTCAGGGCCTCAGCGCCCACCCACAGAAATAGGGCAGAGCATTAGGAAAAGCTGTTACCCCCATGCAGAGATTCGCAGTGACTCATTTTACCAGGATTTGCCATGTTCAGGGCTAGGGCTGGAGCCTGATTCTCTCGCTCGTCCTGCTGAGTCAGGTCTTCAAAATTGCTGAGAGGAGGCTCTTCCCACAGCACAAAGACTTGGGGTACATTTTGCACTTGCTTGCATCCATTGGCCACACAGCACCAAGGTGGTTGGGAGTGAGTGAAATCTTGCTGTCTGTATCAGCAACGCTGTCATCTACCCCCTTCCATATGGCTATACCAAAGGGTAGCAAGGCCCAGTAGTAGCAGGTGAGACTGAAGCCACAAATAAATGTCTTTTCAGCAAGAATAAAGGAGAAACCAACACTGGGTTGCACATTTCCAGAGATAACAAAGAACTTCCTAGTTTTGTTTTCTTAACAAAAATCCCAATAATTATCAAACCATCCATTTACCTCTGAAATGACAGCATTTCTCATGATGTCCTTAAAAATAAAGCAGAACATCTCACATCCTTAGAGGACACCTTCAGAGCAGTAATGTAAAGGACAGAAACCATTTAGCAGCTTACTTAATACACATTTTCTGCCAGATAATTTCCCCTGTACCATATTATCAAAGGCATGACATAATTGCTGTGTAAGAACTGGAGCATATCCAACAACATTTTTAATGGCTGAAAAGTTCTTGTTCTAACTGAAAGTTGCTCACGTTAGAAAGGCCACTCACTTCCCAAGACTGCTTCAGACAGAATCAGCAAGAATCGTGCCCCTACCTCCTGTCTTTCAACATCCATGTTCCAGACCACTATTCCCCCATCGGCACCACAAGAGATGAGCTGCCGAGTGTGGTGAGCGTAGGAGAGAGACTGAACTTTATCGCTGGAAAAGAAACAACGCAGTTACTAATCAACCATTTAAAGCTAGCACAAAAGTAAGGACAAAACATACAATAAAGAATCAAGAACCATGGAATCGTGGAATGGCTTGGCTTGGAAGGGACCTTAAAGCCCATCCAGTCCCAACCCCCTGCCATGGGCAGTGCCAGCCAGCAGCTCAGGCTGCCCATGGCCCCATCCAACCTGGCCTTGAGTGCCTCCAGGGATGGGGCACCCACAGCTTCTCTGGGCAATGTAAATCATTCAGTTGCCTGCATGTTTTCCCCCCCCCATTCTCAATGCACTTTCGGTATTTATCGGAAGCAAATTGGAGTCTTTGCTGTCCAGTTGGAACCAAAACCAGAGTGCTGCTCACTTGGGCAACATCCACAAAATCAAGGACCTGTTCTGATAACTGGTTCCACTGCTCCTGAAACTACGAGTTGAGCTGGGAAGGCAGAACAGACCTGAAGCTTCAGGGGCTTTCCCAAAGCACATCTGAGTGCATAAATGTAGCCTTAGTATGGTACATTCTCTTCAGTATGTTAATAACAACACTTGATTTTGGTAAATCTCTGCAACATCTAGACATGAAGTGCTAAAAAACCACTGAATCTTTTCTTTTAGCACCAATAAGCATTATAAAAATAATACAGGAATTGGTAAATTGTTTCTAAGCCTTCCCAAGGTAAGGTAGATGATTTAATTTATTTTCCCTCTTTTAAACAAAAAGCTGCAAGTGAAAAACAATACAGCTTAAACCCAACCTGCTGACTCTAATGTCACCAATAATTGGAACATTTCTTGGTCCCCACTGCCATCAGGCCTCTATACTACACTGAGCCAGCCACCAGCCATGCTGTGGATTAAGATCCAGATGCTAACTTCATACTAAAAGATCTAAAAATTTCCATTGTAGTAAGTGTAGCAGGGGTGCATTAGCTAGCATCAGTGTTACGGTATGAGGATGATCTGGGGATTTCACAAAAGCTCTTCAGCACTCTGAAATCCCAGTGGCCCAACAAAAATGTCCAGCAGAGTGCAGCATCACTCAAGAGAAATGTATGAATACATAAGAAGCTGTAAACACTGTCAGACCAAAACGGCCATGGAATTTTGCCTCTTCAAATCAGAGCCTGGCATGCTATTCCCACATATATGCTCTGTCAATGCACCGAAAACCTGTTGTAAGTATTTAAAAGGCTTGGGAGTCATCACAGCTTGTGACACTCTAATTTACTCAATGTCCAGAAGAAGATTACTCTTCTTCAAATACATCTATTGTACTAAGCAAATGTGTGGTCTGTATGTGCAAAGATGAAGCCTCTTTGCATTAAGGAGATGCTGCAGGCACATATGGGTAAAGAACATTCCTTATATTTCAGGCTGCAGGTAAAGTGAGATGGAAAACACATGGTTAACATGCAGCAAAACAGGACTAATTGTCCAAGCCTGATGCTCCCTCTAGGGGAAGGAAGGAAAGAAAAAACCTGACACCTAAAAAAGGAAGGAATTTTCCCTCCAGCTGTTCTCATTTGTGGACCCCTCCTTTCCAACTGAGGTGCAGACTCTCACATAACACACTCTGGACCATAGGTAACTGTGCTTTCTTTCACTACCTTTTGAAGACTATCACATCAGCCTGTGGTCTGGATGCTGAAAAACTTGCTGTAAGCCATTTATTCTCACTGTATAAAGACCAAGGGGAGTCACACATACAAGCTAAAGCCATGTGAAGACTGTAACCTCTGGGCTGTTTTTGCTTCCACATGGGACAGGAGGAAGGGCTTTGAACGTACTTATGTCCTTGCAGCTCGATGGCTGTTCCTTTTCTTCCTCCAATATCCCACATTATAATGGAATGGTCAGAACTGCCTGAGAACAAAACTCGCTGTATTGGGTCCCAACAGAGAGCAGTGACACCACCTGAAATAGGAGATTCATAGAACAATTAATTACAGAATGTAGCTTAACGTATTGATACATACTTAAACATTATTTAAAAAAAACAAAAAAGAGTGATGAAAAATGTGGGTCTCTCTAGCAAGGGCCATGCAGCCACTGTACTGGCCATTTGGTAAGCAGCAGCCTAGAAATCCTATTGAAGCCGTGCCCTGCCCTTCTGTAGCCTCGTGTGGGCAGAATGGGCAGCAGAAAGCAACCATATGATGGTCACAGTGTGATTGCACAGCTTTTCATCTCCATTGTCCACAGGAGAGAGATTTTATTATAGAAGAGAAGCAAGTGGGGAATATTATCAGCAACCTGATCTAGAGGGAGGTGTCCCTGCCTATAGCAGGGGAGTTGGAACCAGATGATCTTAAAGGTCCCTTCCAACCCAAATCATTCTATGATTCTATGATTATGGGCATCTTCACAGTGCCTTAGCACATGGATTGAACGACCTTGTGACTGAACTACAAACATGCAGTCAAAGAGGAGGGATTTAAAGAGAAGATGCTGAGCAATGTCCACCATTTTTTCCATTACATGGCAAGCTCACATCCCAGGGCTGCTGTTTTAAAGTGTGATGGAGCACAAGTCCAAGTAGTGAAGCAATCAGCCAGCATCCCCAATAAGCACATCCAAGATACACCTAACCCACTTGGGCAATAGTATCCACCCATATGGGTCTTTCCCTAGGAAGAATCTTTCCCCCCAGAGTTACTGCGACTTTTATCCTCACTCTGCGTTAATAAGCTACTGATCATGGCATTTACTACACTTTTCAAAAGTTTGATCCCTTTCTTGTTTTCCTCAATAAAGAACAAGCTTTCCTGACTCATAGTGACAGTTTAATCTCCCTTTCACGCTCCAGTTTCACAGGATATAAGTTATAGGATATATAGTTATAGGATTCACCTTGATGCTGAGCACAGGTGAAGAACCAAGTAGGGTCTCCTCCTCAAGCCTTACCTGTGTGCCCCTTAAATGTCGTCACCAGGCTGCAGGACTCTTGCTCTAATTTGAGTATGGTTACTTGCCCAGAATGATCACCAACAAACACATGTCGGGTTTCCACATCAAATCTGATGTATAAATGCTGAGGAACACACATTGTTTACACAAGCTATGCATTACTCTTAATGGCTTGTTAATTCTTTTAACATGAGCGTTCTACAACCTTGTGAATAGCACTCTAGTCTCAAGGAGATAAACAGCGTATTTTTAGGTATTAAAGTCATAGTTGTTCATATCAATAATGCAGTCTCCCTGAGTTAACCCAAACAGCAAAGAAAAAATATAAAAACAAAGTTACAAAACCTTGCAATAAGCCTTTTGCCATCAATGAGAAGTCTCATCTCCCCAGTATCTCCAGCTTAAGTTGGATAGTGCTCATTCTTCCTCTTTCCCTGTGTTGAAAACAACTGTTTTCAACCTCTTCATTATATTTAAGTATACGAACAAAACTCCCATCTTTTCTCAGAACACTGCCCAATGTCACAGAAGTCCTCCAGAAGAATATGTCTTGTCTAGTGGTTGGCAACCCTGCACACAGCAGAGGGGTTGAAGCTAGACGATCATTATGGCCCTTTTCAATCCAGGCCATTCTATGATTCTATGAGTATCTCCTTAATTTTTTTTTAATACCAATTTGGTGGCAACCTGGTCATAATGCAAGAACTAATCTACCTTTCATGGCATATTTGGCAAATGTTGGCTACATCAGATGTACCATACACCATATTCTAAATTGAGTAACATCCACCTACAGGAACCATCTATCTCAACAGATTCTGACTTCATTTGATTTAATTGCACATACTTATTGCTTATTTAAGGAAAAGTTGCTTCAATTGATCAAGTGCACACATGAACTGTTGGGAAAAAAAACGACATCCCAGGTTCTGCTAAGTTTTTCTGCAGTATTTGTCAAAGGTTGTCCTTACCCCTGCCCTCTACCAGCAGGATCTGATGACCCAAATTAAAAAGTCCTCCATAATTTGGAACCTCTTGCAGCAGTCTGCCTCTCTAGGGAGCTTTAGGAAAGGCAGAACAAACTCCTGCATTGCACTTTCTATGCTCTTCAGAAAATTAACTAAAAATGGAGTTCACCCTGTAGACCATTTAGATCAGTTTGCCCTTCATTCAGCCTGAGATTACAATGCAAGGCCATATACTTCACTTATTTAATTCTGAGGCAGTCTCATTTCCTGCAAAGTAGCACAACACATATCATCTACACCACATATGCTACGGGCCACTAAAAAGTCTGTTTACGCTAACCCCTGCTTCCAGCCTAAGAGCTCATACTTTTCCACATCCCCTTTCATTTGCAATAAAGCTGAATTAATATTTCTTTTATTGCTAGGCAGCTGGGGCAGCTCTAGGTGAATAAGGCACTTGAGTGCCATTTCTGGAGCCATTTATTCTTTAGTTAGCTCAAATTCCCAGTGCACAGTGGGCTGCTCCAGAGTGAAGGACGAGTGCTGATTATTTGATATTAAAGCCATTTAATTCTTCCCATCGTGCACAAATGCACACTGACCTGATCACTGACCTACTTTGTTACCGTCATTTCTCAGAAAAAAAAAGAACATGCTGCATGTTTAAAACGAAGGCCCTGTCCTTATTTATTACAATGGCAGACCACAACAGGTTGCAGATTGCCCATTGTTTCGCTTAGACCTAAATATGCCACCCCGCATTAAAGAGATGAAGCAAGGAGAGCGGACAGTTGTTTTGTGTGCTTTTGTTTGTTGTTTTTTTTTTACATTGGCTTTAGAGAACAGTTTCTCACAAAACACTGAACCTACGCAGGGCACAAATGTTGGAAGACAGTTAGAAATAAAACCAAACAAACCAAAAGCAAACAAAGAAGTTGTTTAAGGGCCAAAGGGCAGCGCCAAGGAGGGCTCAGCAAAGGATACTGCAGGCCGCAGGCCCCCGCGCTGGTGCGGTAGCCTCCCAGCCGCTGGCCGCTCTCTGAACAGTGCCAGGTGAAGTGCTTGTCTTGGCCGGTGCTCAGCACCCACTCCATCTCCAGGACAAACAGAATCATGATGACCCTGCTTTGATGAGCTGAAAATTAAGCAGACAGACAAGTAGTCACACGGCAAAGAACACACGGGCAGCAGACCATTGGAAATGCCATCCCCTTGCAGCCAGCTCTGCCATTCCTTCGTCGTCTGCTCACTCTTTCCTATAGAAGAAAATGGTGTTCAATAATCCTACTGACCTGAGCTACCATGTAAGTAAGGTTCCTCCCCTGAATTTTAAACACTGGCTTGAGGAAGAAGAGAATCAAAATTGATGTAAGCTGCTCTGAAAGTAACGCCTCCTATTTATTTCCATGGAAACGACAACAACTACAAAGAGCACAATAACACTGTTTTGTAGACCAAATTCTCAGCTACAAAACATTATTTTTCAACATAGTCACCACCGTTTGCTGATTTGTGTGGATGAGCTGATTGAGACCCTCTTCATTACGCAGTATGACAACTGCGCATGCCTGTCCAGAATTTTGGGGGGTTGGACTCGATGATCTCTGGAGGTCCCTTCCGACCCCTACAATTCTGTGATTCTGTGATTCTGTGAATATTGCTGGTCTTTTGCATTGCTGTCTTCACTGCTGAAATGCACCACTCACCATCTCACTGTGCTCACACTCTCTGTTTGGTCTCCATAAACTTTCAGCAAGCATCAAGTGTCAGTGGGTGCCATTTTTTCTGCATGGAAGAATTCAGTGACACACCTTTGCTTCATACACACTTTTGATATGTCATTTTGTCAGACTGCCCCTCAGCTGCCATCTGTTACACAGCAACAACATGGAACGGAATATTGGTGGGGAGGTTCAACCTGTACTTCCATCCAGCCAACATCCACCTTTGACACTGTGGGCCAATGTAATAAAATAGGAGGTGTTACTTTTTGGAGTAGCCCTTGTAATTCATTCCTTGCATGCCTACAGGAGCCATCCATCTTCTGAGATAGCACAAGTCTTCTTTCCATCACTGTACCATAATCCACAAAGCTGCCATTGTGGAAAACACTCCAGGTTGTATTTAGATCTGCTTTGAGCTGGTTTTTAGACAGCAGAGCAGATTCTCATGAAGCAGCACACAGCCAGCTCCAGTGGATCTGGCCATGGATCGTGGTACCTCAGTGGAAGGAGGAGTAATGCACAGGCACAACCCTACACCAAAAGGAAGCTTTAGATCTGCATGGGAACCAGCTAAAAAAGAATATGGAAAACAATAATAAAAAAACTGAAAAGATCACAGCTGGGCAAAATGAATAAAACAGATGAACGAATAAATTTCTGCTGCCACCTAAACAAAGTCATCAAAAGCTTTTCATTAAACCAATGGAACCCAGGCTTGTATAGAAGGATTTCTGTATGAATGACCACTGGGTTTGGTTGTGAAGTGCTGACTGAGATGACTTTTTATTAAAACAAGTGGCTTGAAAGACACACAGAATTATCCCCAGCTGTAAGTGAACAGTGCCTGCCGTGCTCCTCAATCCACAGCTTGCTGCTTTATTGCTGTTTTGAGACTCGGCAACACGTGTTGCACAAAGAGGGCTGTTTGCGTTTCTTAGTGTAGACGCTGACATACTGGAAACATTAAATATCTCTGGAAGCATAACAACCACTCCAAACCCTCTGTTTGAAATGCAGAGAAGTTCAGTAAGAACAATGTGGAAAGATTGCTGTCTACCCTGCACAAATACAAAGCGCAGATGAGAGTCGTGATCAAACTCTACAATGCGGAACAAGTTATGTTAAAGAAAATACAAGGCTTTCAAACAGATCTCTCTACCTTCAGATTTCTTTGCTGGGTAAGAAACTCAATGATCCCCATTGCACTAATGCAGGGCTTCATATATCTGTTGGTCTTCCTGCAAGCACCTGCATGAGCCACTCAGTGCAGTGGGGCACTGCAGAAGGGGCCATGCCGGTATCCATGCTGATGCAAGGACCCAATGGGATCACAAATATGTCCTGAGGGCTTGTGTGCCCCAACAGTGCTGCAGACAGGCCGAGGCACTGCCACAGGACTGCAAAGCTCGCTGTGATCAGGCTGTTCAAGGCCTGCCCAGAGATGTTTCCTTTATTGACGATGGAGACGTGCCAGGCTCTCTGGACAACCTGCTCCAGCGTTTGACCTCCCTCATTTTGAAAAACAAAAATCCCTGCTATCTAATCAGAACTTTTTTTTTTTCTGTGTTGCAATCTCTGCCTGCTGCCTCTTGTCCTTTCACCGTACACCTCCAAGAGCAACGTGGCACTGCCTCACCACCCTCCCATTGTGTGGCTGTAGACCACCGTCAGACTCATCTCAGCCTTCTCTTAACACCAAGCAAAACCAACCCTTTTGGACTCTCCTCACACACCACGTGTCCCACCTCCTTTGTCAACTTGGCAGTCCCTCACTGGCCCTGCTCCAGGACTTCCTCATCCCAGGAGCCCAAAAATAGGCACAGAAACCTCATGAAGTTTAACAAGGTGTTCAAGAAATTTGTGGGACCCATCACACTAAATACTTTGCAAATATCCAGTGTCCGTTACCATCATTACTGACTCGGCACTGATGTTGGTAAATGTTCAGCTAGGCTGGCTTGCAACTCATGTTCAGATATCTGCTGCTAATGCTTCTTCTACAAAGCAGGACTTTTTGCTAGAAGTACAGCACGTGGATGGTGAGGCAATTCTTGCTCTGCTTTTGAAGGAGAAGATGTTAAAGAAATGCACACATCTTGTGGTGGAAGTGGAACACGAGATAACTTTGCTTATCCTCCTTCCCCAAAAAGAACTCCCAAATTCAGCACTGCTGCCCACACATTAGCTGGTGCCACCACACACACTGATGTCAGAAATATATGAACCAAGTGAAAGCCTGGTAGAGGTCACCTAAGCTGGGGAAGAAAGAAAGGACAAATTCAGGCAGGAAGTCATTTGGCATTTAGAGAGAATGTGATCCATGTGAGGCTTAAAGAAAAATTCCAGAAGTTGACAGTAGGGCAAGACAGAATTCTTGGCCCTAGGATTAGTATAGACTCAGAGACATGAAGTAGCAAAAAGATGGTGGTCCTTCATTCATAGAAGGCTTGACTGCACACTGTTTGTGTGCAGACAAAGGTGGAGAAAACACTTCCAGTACTGCTCAGTGCAGCAACAGCACAAAGGAGAAGTGGAATGGAGAGCAGCTGTTGCCAGGGTACAGGAAAAGTCACAGCAAGCAGCAGGCCAGCGGAGAACGGAACCAACATGTGGGGGAAGATTATGGGGTAGGGAACAAAGAGAAGCAGCAGAGAGGAGGAAGATGCAGGTCCATTTGCAGAGGGAAGGTAAGAGCAAGCAGGACAATTATATTCCTAAGAGAAGGCAGCAGCAAGCATTGGGCAAAGAGCAAACCGGAGAGATGGAGGGGCCACGCCTGGAGAAAATAGGCTTAGTAGTAACACAGAAAAGGGATGGACTGTGAGCATTCAAGGTAAAGGGGATGCACAGAGAAGTCCAAAATGTGCAAGAAAAGTCCAAAAGAAGAGGTTGTACACAGGGAGAGCAGTAATAAGGAGGTGGCGTGAGCTGGCCTGAAAGGAGACAGAGGACACTCCTGAAATGGGAAGGCTGCAAATGGCATGGGGCAGAAATAGATCCAGAAATCCTACTGAGTGGAATAATCTTGCAAATAATAAACAAAAATGAGTAGGAGGTAAAGCAGAAGCCGTTCTTTTTCATGCAAAGAAAGAAGTTATTTCCTGTGAGAGGTCAATGTCCCATAACTTGCCATGAAGTACTGAATTACAGTGCCACAAACTTAACCTCTTTGTTTTGATCCCTTTCAAGAAAGAGGTTTCGCAACTCCAGGCACAGCCTTGCAACAAAACTTTCAAGGCACCATGCCAGCCATGTCCTGGCTGCATGACACCAGATCTGGCCACAGACTCCTGCCAAGAGTAAAGCACGGCCTATGCACATGCACCAGCAGACTATTTGGCAGACATACAACTGGCTTTTTAAGACACAATTAGTGCTTTAGCCACTAGAGCAGCTTCAGCTACTTAGAACAGTGCCTCATTGTTTCCTACCCATCCCATCCCCTATACTTTTATATGGCTGTATTAGGAAGGTGTACTTCATGAAGAGTTTTTTGTGGAGGGGAGTCACCACAGACAGGTGAGGAAGGCTCATCTCTGCTGGATCATGGCATGCCTACAGAAAGACTACATGTCCCTTCCCTGAACACTCTCCCAGACAGTGTGGTGCAAGCAGGCACCCTCTCTTTGCAGCAGTGTCTCAGCAGCACTGCTGCACTCCATCCCCAGTGATATGTCCCATAAGCAAAGATGCAGTGTCAGGATGGAGGCAGCTGTGCCTACCAAAGTGTCTCCTGGTTCATGGTATGATAAAACTGCAGCAGGCTGTGAACAGCCCTTCACTGAGTCTTGTCTTTTATTCCAAACACCTTTCCTGTAGCAAAGAACTAAGATCTGCCTCCCCCTTTCTGGCCACCATTCCCATCTGCAGCACTGGCAACAGTCTGCCTTTCTTAAATGGGGATGAGATATGAGAGAAGAAAAATGCATCTCCAACAGCACCTGGGGGCACTTTTTTTCCAAAACAACCATTTGCTGATAGGGTTGGCCATGCACAGAACGCAGAACATTAGACCTACTGCTTCTTTAACCCCTGTATAGCAGGGATTACTATCCAGATACCCCTCCCACATTCAAATTTAGGAGATGCCAGCAGCCTGGCTCACCACACTCTGTTCTCCCCACCCAAAAAGAGCACAAGAAGGATGTGGAGCAGGTCCAGAGGAAGGCCACTAAAACGATCAGAGGACTGGAGCCATCTCTCCTATGAAGAAAGCAGGCACTGTCTGTGGTCTCTGACTGCCATAAGAAAAATGGCTTTGCAGGTTATGGTTTGCCCTAGACCTGAAATGATACCTATTCTGGGCACAGGTGTCACTTATCTTGCCCTAGAATAAGTACATAGCTTTCAAATAAAATCTTCTAACATGTTGTCCAGCACCTGGCACGACAGTCCTCCACAGTGGCAACCTCTGCCTCCACGTTGGTCTCACCAGGAGAATGCCCATCTGTGCATGCCCTGTCCCTGGAGGTGTTTAACACCAGGTTGGATGGGGCCCTGGGCAATCTGATCTAGTTCTTATCTAGTGGCTGGCAGCCCTGCGTGTGACAGGGGGTTGGAGCTCGATGATCCTTGAGGTCCCTTCTAACCCAAGCCATTCTAAGATTCTGTGATTCTCTTCATACCTTTAAATCTAAAGGTTACAAAGTGATCCCCAGAGCCTCCGCTTAGAGATTTAAATTATTCTCTAATTTTTCAAGATACAGAAACTCAAATACATGAGTAAATATATATGTGAAAGGTACGAGAGAGATCTCAAGCCAACAGGTCAGAGACTTTTCTACAGAAACGCGATTCTTAGCATATATTACATCACTCCTCAGTCAAACAGCAAAAGAGGTGTAGAAATAAGTGGTAGCTATTATGTTACTTTTATAGGGATACCTGATCTAAGAGTGGTGTTCTCTAGAAGTTTAGTAAGGATAAATAGCTATGTTTCTTACAACATCCCATTAACAAATGGCCAAGTGGAATTAGAAAAGATATGGACCTTTTAGTATGGCAGGTATCCACTGATAATAGTGAGATTACTAAAACAAGCATTTACTGAAATACAACTGTACTCGTCCCAAAAGCTACAACCCTAAAAGACAGTCAGCTTTCTAAATAGATTCATTAAATGCATACTATTAAATATTTAAAACTAATGTTCCTCTTCCCTCCACATATTTGGATTTTTGACGGCTTGATGTCTACGATGACATTCCTAAAGTAGACTTCAAATGAAAAATAGAGCATGAAATAGCTCAGTAAGCCTTGCAATCTCAAAGCACAGTATTGATCTATTGATAAAAACAGCATTTATATTAGCCTGAAAAATTACAGTAAAGGAGAATATTTCGATTCTCGCCCCTGAAGAGCACATTAATAAAAATTAATGACAATACAGACTAATGAGCACAGATCATGGTTCTTACCCTGGTAACTCTTCACTAGTGTCATCTTGTTGTAATCTTCTGATAAAATGAATTCCTGGGGAAACGGAAAGAAGAGCAACACAGAAACAGGGGTTAGAGATGTGAAGTGTCCAAGACTATTGTCATTTGAATTTGTCTGTGTTTTTGCAAATTTTGAGTACCTCCATCTAAAAATCCCACAAATCATTTCATTTTTTAAAAAGGCCTAACAAAGCCTCATGAGTGCTTCTGAACAGAAAGGTGGAGATAAAAGAGGAACCATTAAAAAGAACTTAAGAAGCTGGCAGGGTGGCTGGCTACAAATGAGCCAGTGTACCACAAAGCAGGAGACCTGAATGCCAGCACACAGCAAACATCTCACAGCTCAGGATTGCTGGAGCAGATATCTGTGCATGCACCCAGCTGTGTGCACATCCGCATGCACAGCCCAACCTGAACCTCAGGAAGCTCCAATTAAATTTGTGAGAGGCCCCTGGAGATGCTCTCTCCAAACTATGTACTAATAATCCACAACAGGGAAAAGCTCAGATTTCTGTTCAGAAGTTTCTCGATACTTCAGGCAAACAAACACAGACGTTCCCTCCCACCTTGATTTTATCTCACTATTAATTATTATTTATTCTGGTGTCTTAGAAGCAGACTTTCTTGCTTTGCTGCTGCTCTGCTGTGGCTACCAAGCAGTAGTGCATGGGCACAGAGGGTGGCTGCCCAGGGACAGGCATGCGGAGTGACCCAGCTTGGCTCTCTCTATGGTCAGGGAAGAACACCCTACAGGGAGATGCTCTGCAGTCCTGCTGCCCTGGTGCTGCTGTTTAACCATCTTTAAATTGGCTTTTAGAGGATGCGAATGATGAAAATCAGCAGTAAAGAGTCTGTGTGGAGGTCTCAGCTCCTGGAACAGTCCCACGTGGTTAAACAGAATGAGCACCTGGGTGTTCCTACTGCTTATTTTGAAGGAGAGAGCTGTTCAGAGTAGGGGAAACAGTGGTCACAACACAGCTTCTGCAGCTTCACTTGGGAGGAAACACCTGGCAAAGGGTGGGCCCTGCTGCACCACTACATGAACTGGCTTTCAAATTGCCCTCAGGTAATTGTGTGCAGACGTCCTACTGAGAGAAATGTGAGAAAGAATAAGGAGCTTGAAAACACATTGTATTAAATTATTTAAAACAAACTATGCAGAAGCTCCCTGGGCTAGTCTAGCTTGGGGCCAGCAGTAAAACCTAATTTATTTAATCTGGAAATAGTGTGAAAATAAAAGGAACATTGTAAAACACAAGATGAGCTACATTTTAAAGTTGTGCAATATCCATGCATAAGCACTGTCAAAAGCACTGACAGAAAGGACTGGGCTTCATGAGCCCACGGACTATTTTTAAGGCAAATCAAATGTTTAGTGCTGAAGAGTATGAGAAAACATTCTAACCACTGAAGCACTGATATTTACCCAACTTTTTTGATCTGGAACAAAAAGAGTCATTCTGCATATCCTGTGGGGTCTCCAGGTAATCAGCATGGCTCTCCAGCACCTGGACTGTCCCTAATACACCATAATTCCTGCTTGGCACCAAGGTGGAGAGGCTGCCACACGCATCTGCTGGAAACCTACAGGTCCCAGCTTCCAGGAAACAACAGTGAGTGGGTTGAGGCAGCTATGTATTGTGCTGTTTCTAGTTTTCTGCTTGTAAATCAGTAATAAATATGCTGTCTTGAATTGCACTACTTCACCTTCCACTCCTTTATTCTTATCCACCTCCTCTTAGCTTTCCTCTGGCAGCTGAGGATTACAATGAAGGGTGTTATTTAAATAGTGGTGACAAATCAATTAAGTCAGCTGGATTTCTATACCAGGGTCACCTTAACTCTGCAAACCACAGAGCATTAAAAATCTGCTATACCTCCCTACATACTTACAGGGGAAGTGGGTTTAATTAACCACGGCCTGAAGAAGGTTAAACCGCCACACAGAATGCTCCTCTGCAAAGCCCACTTGAATTAAAGACCCTTTTCTACGAACGTTAACTGTCTGCTCGTGTTGCCTGAAAAGAAACAGCTTTAATTGCTGCAACACGTGGTGGGAGAATATGTTTGTCTTTCCCATCCTGGTAGTGAACACAGATTGCACCGGGGTGACGCACAGATGCAGGTGATCAGAAGTGCAGAGGTGAGGAACAACGCGCATTCAAATTCCGCTTTGGCATTTTGCCTTTGACAAACTTGACACGGCCGTTCTGCTCAGTTATCTGTGGACAACTTATTGGAAGGCTGAAAAAGTCTCCCGAATCTCCCCGTTGCAATGCAGTGAATCAAAACACAATGGCAATTAGTAAGGTTAAGCCAAGTATTGATTAGGTGTGCTTTAATACAAGCCATGGTTGCATGTTATCGATAGAGCACTCTATCTAAAGGGATGAACACAGTACACTATGAACACAGTTCCATTAACCTGAATGAACACAGTTCCATTAACCTGAATACTGGATGTCATGATATTGCATGTTCTTCTCTCCACCTCCCCCAAGATTTCTTGCATCTTATTTTCTCCCCTGAAAGCATTTGTTACTTTGAGAGTCATCTCCTTTTCACATTTTCTAATTTTTAAGTTCTTTTTTTTCTTGCTCCCCTGTACACAGTCACTTGTTTTTCCACTGCCCACATTCCTCTATCCCTCTCAAGGTTTTAATTACATCAGTAGACAGGTAATTTAACACAGGGCACCTTGCTCCACGAATTCATGCCCTATTGCATATACACTGTGGCTGCTGCCCTACAGAAACACTGACTGTATCTTTTTAACATTGTACCAGCAGAAACTGGTTCTTATCCTTCCATACATCAACGTTTCACACTTCTCAGAGCTGCTGATGCTTCAGTTCTCATTAGGCGGTTTTTGGGCACTTCTTAATGAGCTAGAAAGGCTGAGGTCAGCCACACAGCTCACACACAGCTTGTTAAGAGAACAGGGGAAGATTTGAGTCTTGTGACAGTGCTTTTGCACAGGAGGGACTGTGACACATCACAGCACTTGGAATGGAAAAACCAAAAACCTTCCTCGCAGGGATTAAACATTTTCCTGGTAAGATCATCCTCTGCTCTTCAGGGGGTTTTCTTGTGTGTGGATTTGGTTTGTTTGTTTTTTTTTTAATTTTCATTTTTCTCCTTTGAGTTTCTCTATATGTTTTTTGCAATATTGAAACATTACTGATCAATCTTGTCTGTCTAAGGAAAGCTTATTACCATTACATCAGTGGAGTAATCAGTGCTATGAAAGCCTTTAAGGTGAAGTCCTGGGCATTTGCAAAGGCCAACCCAATGCCCACTGCTGTACAAAGGCTCTCAGCTGCACCTTCATTGAGCACATCTCCCTCACACTGTAACATACACACACCAAAAACTTCCACTCTTGATTTTAAGACTTCTATAAGTCTTCTATAAGTCTGCAAATATCACTGGTGTTCTGTTTCGAATTATTTGTGTTAAGGTAAACAAAACACATACCCTAGTGCATGTCATTTCAGAATCCTTGGCCGTGCATGCTGGCTGATATGACACAGAGTCAAAAGAAGAGCCATACCCTTCCAGAGCTGCAGGTGGACATCAAGTGTTGGATGACAAAACAGAACTAGAGACCTCTGCATTGGCAACTGAATCCCACCTCAGAGTTAATACTCTTTATTTATTACCTATTCACAGCCTCACTCCCACCCCAAGGAATTTACAGTCTATACTCTGTTAGATGATGCCATTTTGACAGCACAGTGTGGATCTTTGAGGCTTGACTTGACCTATTAATACAAGTTACTGACAGTGCTCTCACCGTATCTTCCAGAGAACAGCAAACTAGCTTCAGAAATTGAGAGGAATGAATACTCTTAAATCTAATGTCAGTGACTATGTCTACATCTGCTGCAAAGAAAGGTCTTCAAAATGATTACAGCATTCTCACTTCATTAAATGCAAAAATCAGAATAGGATAGAAACTATTATGCTATTTGTGGATGCCCCATCCTTGGACGTGTTTAAGGCCAGGTTGGACGGGGTCCTGGGCAACCTGATCTGAATGTGTATGTTTGGTGGCCCTGCTAGGCAGGGGGGTTGGAACTACATGCTCCTTGGGGTCCCTTCCAACCCGGGTGATTCTGTGATTCTGTCTGTGTGATTCTGTGATTTCTTGGCGAAAAAAACACACTGAACTTCCCACTGTGGCAGAGGTGCACACCAGCAGGTAGAGCCTAGGTGTTCCTAGTACTGTTTACAGCCAAGCTTGTGGACATCTGCACGATCAGATGATGTGGATGATGAATCTATATTAAGCGCCATCCCCAAGAAAGAATTCAGACAGCGCTGTGCCTTTGACTTGTTTTCCTTGTGGACCTTCTCCAAGTATGTAACAACTTCATCTGAACACAAGCAAGGTCAGATAAAAAGTTCAATTTCATTCAGTTTCAGCTACCTAAAAACTAAATGCCTCAGTTATACCTTCAGAAATAGCATAAGTAACATGGGTATTCCCAAGGGCAATTCACTTCTCTACTGGCAGCAGAGCCTCATGATTAACTTCGTCTAGGAAGCTAACTTTTAGATGAAATTAAGCAGGGAGTTGCATCCTGGCAGTCAACTCTCCCATTTATTTCAAGTGATAGACCTTTCCTCTGTTGCTTGGTATAGTGGTATCAAGAAACTTGCACCCATTAAAACAATATTTCCTTCAGAGGAAGGAATTTATGACTGCAATAGTGTCTTTTGGCTTCCAAAAGCAACCTGAGGCAGCCCCTAAGACAAAAAGAAATACAAGTGCCATTTATCCAAAAAAAGGGATTGCAAGGCATAAAAATGATCACAAGAAACTTTTTTATGTGCTTCAGGTACTCTTGCTTTCCAAGCAAGATGCTTGACAAACTTTCACTCAAGAGAGAGAAGTGTACTGTGCTGCACGAAAGTTGATGCAGCCTTCATGCTGAGAAGTTACAAAAGGTTGAAAACAATCTCTTTTACTTCTACATCTTTGTAGAAGTAAAAACTGTCAGTCTGTTTCTTAAGGAGAAACGGGGCCTAAAACCTCACTTCACTGTGGCTTTGCTGGAACATCTTTATCTAACAACAGCATTGCTGCCCATCCTTCTCAAAAGGCACCACAGGCATTTCTGGGGTGAAAACCAAAAGCCACATAACTTTCCAAAGTTTCATGTAAAAGGTAGTTTCACTTTCTTATTCATATTTATGTGTGAAAGTAAAAGCAGTAGCACAGAAAGATGAATTTGACATCATGGGAGCTATATTAGCTTATGCAGCCCTTGCCATAAGATCTTCCCTTCCATACAAAGCAGATGCACAACACCTTTCAGAGCTTTTCTGCCCTGCACGCAAGGTGCTGGAGCAGCTGACCAATGGCCAAGTATTTCAAGCTACTGAAGTGAATTGTCTGTACATTTCTTCTGAGGGTTACACAGTAAAAGTGCACTAAGACCACCTTGTTGCAGGACGGTTTCTTACTCTGTGAACAGCGTGCCCTCCTTGTACACTTTTGTGCTAGAGTAATTTTACTCCTGTATACATGCTTAGAATGGCCCTCCAAAAGGTGCTTGTAACCTACCCTTGAGTATTTGGTGTTAGATTTTCCCTAGCACCTATATATAGCAAGGACTTGAATGTGGGGCTACCCTTCCTCCATCTCCACCTTCAACACATCTTGCAACATAATACAGTTGTGGCTTCTCTTGCAAGCCTTGGGTTTTCTGCAGAGGGAAACTTTCCATCACTTGTGAAAGTTTGCAGAGCATATTTTCTGCAAAATCCTCTACTACACAGTTGCTTAAAGCTAGTCGGGACAAAATGAAGCAACGCAGACTAGCCCTTCCCTCTCCTATTGACTTGTATTCAAAAGAAGGGAAAAGGAAAGCAAAGCGTGGCAACAAATACAATGTCTTAGAGGTGGCAATGCATACTAAGAAGTACCCGAAGTAACATGTTGGTTTACCACCTGCATACCTCATTAACCATCTTTAGCTCTAGAATGGAAAATACTTGACCCTGTTCAGACTCTCTGACTCTTCAAGGCAAAATGCCATGAAGATAAAGGACATCTCTTTCATCAAGCTGGAATACTTAAATGCCTTATTTACAGTTGCCTTCACATTCCTCAAAGGCCTGGTGAAAACAAATGCGTCCAGTAGGACTGGAAAATTAAAGCTATTTTGGAGAGTGGGAAGAAGGGAATTTCAGAGGTGCAGGGAATTCTCTGGCAGCTGTCCCATCTCCTAGATACAAAAGGAGAAATCTCCTACGAGCACTGAAAATCTCTGGTGCTGAGCCATTAATAGCTTTATGGGTCAAAGCCTTCACATCTTTGAAACAGCTCATGGGCAATAGCTAAAAGGGCTACACGTCCCATCCCAGATACCATCTTGGTTTAGTGCAGACAGCTGCCCTTCTGTCAACCTATGGACATACATTCAGTTATAAAGCCCATAAAGCAGAGACAACAGCAGTAAAATCGGAAATGAAGATAAAAATGGTCTTGAACTGTAGATGTCTAATGATGGGGCATAGGTGAGAAGTCCCTCCCTGACCCCTAGTTCCTTTCTGCATGGCAACGGCATTTCATCAACTATTCCACAAGAAAAATCCAACTTTTAGAGAGTCAAGTGCTATTCTCTATTCCAAATCTAAATGACAGGCTCTTGTTTTGATATCCCGCTTCCTTTCCACACACACACAGATCTCTGAGATGTTAATAAACCAATTCTTTCAGCAAGAGCATTGACCTATATGAGCAATTACTATAGAGGAACTGAGATGAAAACAAAATCTGAACCCTGAAACTTGGAAAAGTAGCTAAATATAGAGCAGAAATTCATCTTCTGCCTCTCAAACATTATTTTTCCCCTCTTAACTGCTGCTTTCAGAAAACTCTGGTATGGCATGATTAACAAGACACTCGTTTAATAAAACAACAGCTGTTCAGCTGTTTTTTCTTTAGTTCTTTTTACTATTTTTTTAAGATGGATGCAAATTAAGACTGTCTGTTTAGTTGCCTAATAAATATTGCAAACTCCACTCAATCTTTATGTGAGGGCTGGAGAAAAATTTGGAGTAATCTACTACTTTCCACACTACAGCTTTAGATCCACTGCAGTAAAAATCCTCTCTCCCGAACGCTAGCAAAAATATCCTCACCCCATCACACATATACTTCTCAAAAGGGAAGCGTTTCAACTAGAAATCTTTGTATGTACTTACTGAGATTGTACCATTGTCTAGACCTATGGACAGCCTTCTGGTTTCCGGGTTAAAAGACATGCATGAACATGGAGCTGAAAAAAATGAACATGATGATGAAGTTAACAAAACTGCGATTTTCTTGAAGTTCTGGAAAGCCTAAAACTAGCTAGCATGCTTCACCGTGCTTCATCATTTTGCCCCCTTCCAATAGATAAACATTTAAAAAAAAAACAACAGTGCTTGTGCCATTCATTCTATCCTATCCTATTAGGACATGGATTAACAGTTATTTATTGCTCAGTTTCTTCATTTTTCCTTACGAATGCTTTCTGAAAGTGGGCATGAGGCATGTTATACAAGAACTGTGCTGGTGTATCCACATGAGTGGTACCTGACATTTCAGTACACATTTTATATTTATTTAGCTGAATAATTTGGGCAGTTTTTATAAAAACAAAACAAAACCAAGCCATTTGCCTGCCCTTTATCAGCAATAAAAGAAAATGCTGTCAAAGACTCACATCCTACACCTGCAGTAAGAAAGTGAACTTGACTCATTGTTAACAGGAGCTGACCTACCAGCCAGTATGAAGAGCAGTCAGTCCAACTGCTCTGTGGTCATTTCCCCAGACAACATTATTACAGTATCACATACTATGGCCAAAATACAAGACTCTGTGGAAAACTTGCCACTGATTCTTACATCAACACTAATAAATATCAGGATACACTCTTAAATTGCTCATAAATCAGTCCCCCTAGGATATGGAGAGGTTTGCATACAGGGTAAAATCAGACTTTTCTTGTAATAACTCAAGTGATACGCTTGGTTTAATCAAGATACTGTGAGGCTGCATTTAGAAGGCAGGGATTGCTTTTACCATCCAGCACAGCAGCATGCTGTCCCCACAGAACCCTTCAGTAATCACTTCCCAGCACTGTGACTAGGGACAGGCATCCATCCCCTTTCTGTAGTGGTAAGACCATTGATTAAACCATATTTGTGTAATAGATGTTGAGTGCAGTCAGACGTGCTTTTAATTCTTTTCCCCTCCTTTTTAGTTTCTTCTCTCTGCTGTGATTACATGCAGTGGTTTTGTTAGTAACAGACTCGGAGTTCTTTGTTTTACAGTGCCATGTACTTGCTATATTCTCCATTTGAACAATGTCTTACCTACAGTTGTACAGCTCATAGCTCAGCAGATCTTTGTTAGTTAGCAGCTGAGCTATATCACAGCAAGGAAAGCCTGTTTAACAAAACTATTCTACCTCTAGCACTGCACACCCCCAATACATTTCCTAAGGGATAACTAATTGCAAGCAGGAAGCCAATCACATTCACATCCAAGAATTAAATTAAAGGCTTCAGTTCAAGGGAACTGCCAGAACAGAAATGCTACATTGTGGCTACTAACAGTAATGAAATCATTCCTTTCTGTACCTCTTCTTCAGAAAAGGCAAACTCAAAGCTTCCCTTCATATGGTGGGATGCTGCTATGATACTGAGACTTCCAGATCATAGTGGAATTAGGATGTTGTAGGAAAAAAATGACAGAGACAAAGCAATTCTAAGTAAACATCATACCCTTTTAAAAGGCACTTAATACAAAAACAGGCATATTCAACATTCCAGCTTTAAAATGTCAAACAGTGTGCACACGTTGAAAAAACTATCAGTAACTCTGAAGATGACAAACAAACAGTTTACAGAGAAAAACTCAGTTAAATTAGCTATTTAAAGTATGCTTCTTCCAGATAACTCAAAGCACTTCAGATACAAAAGGTACAAGCAAATATGAGACACGCTGCTAAATAAAGGCCACATTTGAGTTCCAAACCCACACGTACTTTGTCACAGCAGTGTAAAGATACTTTGCTATAATCATTTTCCTAAAGGAATTCTTAAATAACATGTACTCTTGGAAAAATGAACGTCAGCCCTAGCTACGCTAATGCAATTGAAATGGCACCAGTTGCAACCAGCCAGCAGCAGCTTATACTTTACATGAAAGTTAGACACTTTCTTAAGCACTTGGGCTCATTATAAGGAGGGGAACAAAAAAGAAAAAAAAAGAAAAGAAAAAAAGAAAAAAAAGCCCTAATTTTCTAAGATGTTAAAGAGCCTTTTAAAATAATACCGAGGAAAAATAACAGCACTTTGAAGACTCTCCACTTTAACGTCTAGCTATGATTTGGATTTCACACTACAAGAGGCTTGATCTGATCTGATGGGCTGGATATTCTTGACATGTAAGTCTGGCTGTATTCTTACATATAGGGCAAATACACAATAATGCTATGATTTTTTGCCTTTGAAAACAGAAATCTTGAATTCCTTCATGCTCTAAACAACGAGTCTCCTCAATTAGAAGCTGACAGAAGTGGAAGACAAATACAGACTTTATACCTGCATTTTCAGAGGGCCAGAAGTGGCAAAATGGAAGACCTAAGGGTTGTGTTTTGCTTTGCACAGTTTTGACCATCTGCTTCAATGCAAAGTGTTAGCTAAAAAAAAACATCGTAAGGCCATGTACTATCTGCCTCAAACCCTGGGTATTCCATTATGATAAAACCTTTACTCAGTTCTCCATCTGTGAGAGGCTTTTTCTGGTTGGGTTTGGATCTACTGTGGTCATTCATTTTTATGCAAAGCTTTCTTGTATTGACTATGATACCTTCTCATAATTCTGTAAAAAGGTGGTTTTTTTTTTCCTCCTGTGCAGATACTAACAAAAAATGTAAAGATCACACACCTAACCATGAGGATTAACCTGCTCAGAGGTCCACTGTTAACACAAGTTGTTCAGACAACTCTGACATGAAGTAGTCAGATATTCAGCTTACCTACTTTGCTTTACTGACAACACAACTGTGTATTTTTGATAGTGGCTCTGCCTGTGGTGGTTCTTGAAAGCAGACTGAGTTCCACCAGTGGCTCTACCACCTCCAGCCACCAGCATCCATCACCACGTTCTGTCAAGTGTTTATCAAAGGCCTTCTGGTGCTTAATGCTACTGTGACACTCTGGCTGAGAAAGCCAGCAAAAGACCACAGAAATGATATCTGCCACGGGGTGTTCCCATTACCCTTCTCTTTGCAAAGGCTTGGCTGTGCAGTGACCTGATTTGAACGCTCACAGCTCACTCCTTCTCAAAAACGGGGCTGCTGCGTTGTCCACTATTTTCTGAAACACCCACGGGTTGGGCAGAAAACTCTGTAACTGAGGAAAGCCCACTCCTAAATAGCAAAAATGTCCCTAGTTGGAAGAACCTACTGAGCAGCTATATAATGGGCTTCACATTCAGAACGCACTGATGGCTCCATTGGTTGGCAGAGTCTGAGCAAAGCATATGGCTGGCTCAGCCTCAATGCCTCATCCTCCTAACCTCCCAGAGGTTCTGTCTGCAATCTCAGTTATTAAGACTACCTAACAACAAATTATGAAAGAGTGTGGGTCACGCAGCACTGTAACCAGCCATGAGTCACGCTAATGGGTAATCTGTAGGTGGGACTGCCATTCTCACAGCTTGCTAAGCAGCACAAAAGCATCATCATGCCTACTATTTTTCTTCTGAAAAGAACCTCTGTTGTTCTCTAGACAGCAAAAAACAACGTGAACCTACAGCAGAGGACAATCCAAAAAGGTGATCCATGCAGAAACAGACAAAACGCAAATGCATGCCCGCGCAGAGGCTAACTCAGAGCCCTCCCTATGATTTTAAAGCATAAAGCCATGGCTGATAGCTTAATTGGCATTGCTCCAGTGTTTAATTATACTTGATCATTCTTGAACCTGGTGAATAACTCAGTACAATGTAAATGTCTCATGACTCAAAAATTTACCAGCCTGAAGTGAAGGAACAGCATCAGGTGCTCAGACTCATGAAGGAACTCTAAAAAAGCCCCCTCTGAGTGGGTCTGGATCTACTCAATCTTTTCCAGCATAGCTATTATTACTGGCAATAATGCAGCCTCTCTACGATCAGTAGAAGAGCTAAGATGATTTTAAAGTGAGAAGTGCCACTTCATAACAGTTTGTCTGAGGGAAGCAGACCTCTTTGGACAGATGAGGGAAACCAAAGCCATGGCTACTTATTGTTACAGAGGTCCACAGTCTGCCACATCATTAGCTGCTTTCCAATACCTTTTGAGCAAAATTTTGAACAGAAAATACCTTTGAGGCTTGACAAATTCTTATGAGTCCATCCATCAGCAAAGGAAAAAAAAAAACAAAAAAGAACTTTCTATTTAGCAAAGGAATGCTTTCCTGGAGCAGGCAAGCAAACATTGAGGCCACTCTATAGCCCCAAACTGATGATGCCATGGTACTAGAACTGTTTAATATTTATACGTACTAAACATTCTCTGCATCACGGAGACAGAAATCCTCTTGCAAATCTAACATTGGCTTAAAATACTACTTTCTCCGGACAGTAACATTGCCTCAATGGGATGTGACAAATGCTCCCTGATCTGCTTTCTAGAGACAAGCTAGCCCAGCACATATGAGTTAACTGAGGAGCATCAGCATATTTCTGCTGCAGATGGCCTGCAAAGTTTTCTCCTGCACTCAATACAGGTCATGACAGGGCAGTAGTCTCTTCAACCACCTCTAGGAAAAATGGACATTAATCTGCATTTTCTTTCAAAGCATGAACACCCTCTTTGGGACAGAAGACCTACAGTAGATGATACTGGAGAAATTCATGATGAAGGCTTGGTTTTCGTCATCTAATTGTGGGGTAATATGATTCTGCTCCTCCACTGGAAAACCAGCCTTCTCTGTCTAGTATGCCCTCTATTGTATTAGCTACTGCAGGATATTAAGTTATTATCAAATAAAACCATTTACCATTGTACTCTAATGGACTGAGCACATGCAGTAGTAAGGGCAGTGATTTATACTGGAGACTTACAAAGCTTTATGGACTCCATTAGTGGTGGAACACAGGACTACATTTTGAGCTTCCACATTTGTTGATCCATATTCACATAAATGCTCATCCCTTCCTAGCATATTTGTATGCTTTTGCTGCTGTAATCCCTGATGCCTCTCGGGAACATTAGCATGCAACTTGGTAAAGCTTCACAGAAACCGTGAGAGCTACTCAAGTACTGAATTTAACATGAAGTGGTAAGGCCACAAATGGCCATAAACATTAAGTTTAATCAAATAAAAAAAGGCATTGTGCAAATACACAGTAGATAATGAACATTTCCTTATACTTACATGGCATTGCATGGTATATGCTGGGCCAGTACTGTCCACTGTCTCTCTTCAGCCAGACACGAACCGTTCTAGGAAAGAAAAAACAAAACACACGTGAGGAGGAATGAAAAAGTAACTATGAATGAAAACAAACCAGCAATGCTGAATGCACAAGACTATGTTCAAAATGAAATTATTTCACTGAGAAGTAAACACACGAACTCCTACAGCAGGCCTACACATCAAGCACAGATGATGATGATGAGGGAAGCCTGCTCCTTGGTACGATGCAGTACCAAGCTGAACACATCATACAAGGCAGCCTGGCAGTCTTCCTCTGCTCTGTCAGTTCAGAGCTGCTGTCTTCAAACAAAAGCAACTAGACCTCTTGCAGTGCTCCAACACTTCCACAAACACATCAGTGGTTTCCCTCTGCTGGAAAACCTTCCTAGTCTTTTCCTTGCTCATATTGGTATCTCATTTGCAGCTTCTGTCACTCAATTAGCATGCAGTTCATCCACGCCCATCACACACGAGATGTTTTTCACTTGTTTCCTGAGCAAACGATGTGAAACTGATGTAGAAGCTGGGCCATTAAATATTTATTATTTCAGCCTTTGGTATCATTTGCTTCTTCTGGTCCAATCTCTAAAACTCCTGCTCATCCTGCCCTGAATCCAAACTGATTTTTCAGCACATATTTCAGAGACCTGAATATATGGCCACTACACAAGCTGCATCGTGTTACAAATTTCTCACATTTACACTTCAACATTGTATACAGCCCTAAGAAAAAAAACAGTATCTCACTGGATCTCCAATTCCCACTGTCATAGATCTCTCACAAATCACTCAAAACCTAAAAATTCAGTATAATTGCTTCCTAACTGTAGTGGCTTTTTTGAAATGAACACACCAGCAGCTCTTCAGCAGACGTGAAGTAAAAGCACCAATACCTGTGCAGTGAGAGTGCCAACCCTTCTGTTCCTTCTTGCTTTGGATGGCTGTGCCTGTTGTCAGAGCAGCCTCTGCATCCTGACCTCAGCACAAAGGGTTGGGAACTCCCCATCCTTCTGTGGCTGTGCCCTGAGTTTGGGACACATCCAGCTCTGTCTGCTCATCAGAAAATCAAAGTGCTTGAAAAGCTTGAAGTGGAAGTGACCTTAAAGACTATCTAGTCCCAATACCAAAGAGGTGGTAAGAAGGTCACTGCAATCCTGAAAGTAAATCAAGCTCTGTTTCCCAATCGGATGAGCTCATGACAATGCGTTTTCAACAACTGAAGTGGGAATGAACACTGCATGCACAAGAAAATACTGGGATGTATCATAGGGAATTGAAATTATTCAGTTTGAAACTGCCTTGAGGATATGCACCAATACTCAGTGAGAGACCTGTCTTTTTTGTCCATTCCAATCCACACATTCACTGCTACTAGTTTCCAAACTCTTGAGCTGAGATAACGTTGTCTCTTCTTCCCACTTCAAGGTTCTGGCAAATAATAAATTCAGCCTGGAGAAGAGAAGGCTCCAGGGGAACTTATAGCAGCCTTCCAGTAACTGAAGGGGGCCTGCAGGAAAGCTGGGGAAGGACTTTTTTTAAAGGCATGTAGTGACAGCATGAGGAGAAATGGCTTTAAACTGGAAGAGGGTAAATTCAGACTAGATATTAGGAAGAAGTTCTTTACTGTCAGGGTGATGAGAAACTGGAACAGGTTGCTCAGAGGGGCTGTAGATGCTCCCCCCCCGGAAGCATTCAAGGCCAGGCTGGATGGGGCTTTGAGCAACCTGGTCTAGAGGGAGGTGTCCCTGCCTATAGCAGGGGGTTGGAACTAGATGGTCTGAAATGTCCCTTCCAACCCAAACCACTCTATGATCCTAAATCTAGAGAGGTGCCACGTGTTACAGATTATTCAGCTTGTTAAAACAAAACAAAACCAAACAACATCAAAGACTATGTGTAAGAAAAGATCTTCTAAAAGCTAGGAGAAGCAAAAATAAATGTTTGCAAAAATGGCAATACTTTGGATGCTTTGTTTGTGTTTTTGTTGTTTGTTTTGAAACTACTCACTGCAGACTTCCTACTTAATTTGACAGCTGTCTCAGCTAAGACTGTTCACTCAGTTGTGCTGGAAAAAAAAAAAAAAAGCTGTTTAATGCTTACTTAAAAAAAAAATAAAAATGAAATAACTGGTGGAGTTTCCTTGCAAAGAGTGGAACTACTTCTACCAGTGCATGTTTCTTCTGGAGGTACACAGTAAGTTCATTTCATTACACAGTCAAATAAATTTCTATTCCATTACTGCTCATGCAAAATGAGAAAAAAATATCATAAACAAACAGTATGAAAAGCTGTTATCTGAAGTGTCTGAAAGTGAACATAATCAGCAAGACCATTCATGTAACTTGTGACAGAAATTCATTTTACTCTCCCCAGTAATTCATTTTTTAAATAAAGAAAAAAACAAGTCTCGTTAACAATTTATTTTTATGTTAAGGATGATTATTATCCATATCTTTAAAACAACTATCTAAAAGCTATCCTAAGCTTTATAAGACACAAAATCTATGTATAAGCAGACACAAAAGTACAAAAAACCTTATGGCTTATAACTTTCTTCTCTTAGATCACTGGACTACTGAAAGAAAAAAAGCAGATGTCAGTTCATCAACTTCTGTACAAGCAGCATTTTTCTCCAAGTGGGCTCAGGCTGAAGAACCAACAGCTGAACGTGAGAGAAGCCCTCGGAAGAGAGCATCTTTTTTCAGCTGCAGTTCTGCACATCTTTGGGTACTTGAAACAGTATTATCCACCAGATGTGAAACCCTGAACTTCTGAAGCTTCTAAAGAATGCAGAGAAAAAACAAGTGTGAATGAAAACTTCTAGTTTTATGGTTATGTAGCACAAAGATCACTTGCTGGCTGCACGGTTACTGGATGGCAACCAGCACCCACCCAGGTAAAGATCCATTCTTCTGGAGCAATTCAGTTGGCATTGCCATGGAAATGAATTGCCCCTTCATTCTGTGGCCAGTGAATTGGCTTGGAAAGATTTTAGAACCTATCAAAACAATAAATAGTCTTCTAGTGCTTTCAAAACAGAGATTGTTTATTTTTAAATGAGACGAGCTACACAGCTATAATACTACCATGTACAAAACAGATGGGGGAGGTAAGGATATAATACAACCCTGCCGAAAAGGACCTGGTGGATGGGAAGCTGGACATGAGCCAGCAATGGGACCTGGCAGCCTAGAAAGCAAACCTATGTTGGGCTGCATCCAAAGCAGTGTGGCCAGCAGGGTGAAGGAGGTGATCCTGCCCCTCTGCTCTGAGCTGTGAGGCCTCACCAGGAGTACTGCATCCAGATGTGGAGTCTTCAGTGCAGGAGAGACGTGGACCTGTTGGAGTGCATGCAGAGGAGGGCCACAAAAATGATCCAAGGGATGGAACACCTCTCCTATGAGGGCAGGCTGAGAGAGCTGGGGCTGTTCAGTATGGAGAAGGGAAGGCTCCCAGCTGACTTGAGAGCTACCTTTCAATATCTAAAGGGGGCTGTAAGAAGGAAGGAACAGACTTTTTTTTTAGCAGGGTCTGCTGTGACATGACAAGGGGAAATGGTTTTAAACAAAAAGAAGGGTGATACAGATTGGTCACAAGGAAGAGGTTTTTTACAATAAAGGTGATGAGGCAGTGGCACGGGTTGCCCAGACTGGATGCCCCATCCTTGGAGACACCCAAGGTCAGACTGGACGGGGCTCTGAGCACCTGATGGAGCTGTAGGTGTCCCTGTTCACTGCAGGGGAGTTGGGCCAGATGGCCTTTAAGGGTCCCTTCCAACTCAAAAGCTACGCTATGCTATGCTATGCTATGCTATGCTATGCTATGCTATGCTATTTTATTCTATTATATTCCATTCCATTCCACTCAAAAGCACTGGGTTTATCCAAAGACCAAAGCCTGCCCCATTACAGTTCCTGCTCTTTGGAAAGGGGTGGAGGTTACCAGTGCTAACAATATGACGCAGTTAAAAATGAAAGCACCCCCTTCTGTCAGCAGTCCTAACCACAGAGCTGATTAAGTACAGTTACAGAACAGTTTGCAAACAGGAAAAGGAACTATTCTGGAAAACTCTTTAAAACTCAAAGCCAGCTATTTAATTGTCAGACAGTGAGAAAAGAGTTTAGTTTTATCCATGGTTACTGCTTTTTGTGAAGTTTTCTGCATGCACATTTTCCAACCATCAATATTTTAAATTTTATCTTGAAACAAAAAGAATTAAAAATGCCACCTGTTCCTCAATATAAAATAATGGACAATTCAGAATTACCGAAAAGCCGTGCCTCTCTGGAAACTAAATAACTGGACTGGAAACAGCAAACTCTTTATCCACTGTCATTAAATAAACATGACAACAGTAGTATTTAAAACCCAAGCACAGCACTGACAGTTTTACTGCCTCTAACAGAGAGACACTATCATGAGAAGTAGGATAAACAAAGATATTTAACAGCCGCATTAAAGATACTACATCATTACAGCCCATCACCCCAAGTTCTTCAGGCACTTTAATGGGCAAGAGACATGAAGAGATGTTGGCTCCTGTCTGTTATGATACAAGACATTCCTGGGATTTTCTGAAAGAATAAAAGACCTTTTATTTTAGGGGCAGTTCATGAACCATTGTGCTGAGATCAGTAACAGACAGTTTCGTTTCTGATAAATTTTGCAAGCAAGAGTACAAAAATAAAAACTAAAAATGGAACTGATTTCCAAACCAGTCTCTGTTTCAGGGAAAACAAAATAATTTTAATGGCTGAGAGCCAAAATCTCAAGCACCAGGAGAAATTCATATTTTAGACCGTCATCCTACGTCCCTCTGCAAAATAAACCAAACAATCAGGAAAAAACAAGCCAAGCAGCCAAAACCCAAACCACTTCTATCACCATCCCAGGGAAGTTCACGATTACTCCTCTCAGGCTCATCCACTGTGGTCCCCATGAAGGCCATCACACAACCCTGATCTGCAGGAGGCGTACAGCACCAGGGCATGTTTCAGATTCTACCTCACTTTCAATGGTTTTGTTG